TCCTTATGGACCTCTAGGGCGAATTTTAGAATTGATAGAGCTATCCAGTATAAATAAAGTTAGTTTAGTTTAGGTTTCCTCCTGTTGCATTTGAATTCAGTTGAGATAGAGAAGCTACACAAAATGAAAAGCTACAGAAGTAGAAAAAATAGGTGCACAAAACGTACATACGTCACATGACCTAAAGTTCTTGATTTTTTTAGGTTGAGGCAGGTTTTTCTGAGATGGAGCAATCTTATCAGATTTTTACCAAAACGAGATTTAAGAAAGGTGACCAGGTATTTATAAACTATGGCCCTCACAGCAACAGAAAACTCCTTGCAGAGTATGGTTTTATTCTGCCTTATAATTGCCACAATTCTGTCAAAATTGATCCCAAACTTGTTTACGAGGTTGTATCTAAACATTATGGGCACATATCTAAGAGAAAACATGATATTATCAGAAAATATAACCTGGAAGATACATATTATTGTTCACCAAATGGTTTGTCATGGAGCTTAGAGACAGCATTGAAAATACTAAGTTCAAATGAAACGATCATTCAGCAAAAATCTTTGCATATTGATTCTTTACAATTGTCAACTGAAAACGAAAATTTAGTTCGGGTATTTTCAAAGGAAATTTTGAAGTTCATTTTGGTTGGGTATCGTAAGGATGTTGCAAGGATTTGGTCAAGTCCTGATGACAGAGATGATTGTTTATCAGAGAGAATGGGACAATTGATAGCATTGTTAAAGCAAGAAATGAATATTATTCAAAATGCTTTAGTCTCATTGGAAGAATAAAAGTGTTTATTGTTCATTTGTTCTAATATGAATAAGAATAATATGAAACTAATATGCTTGTGATGTTACTCTGAGTGTATATCCACACTGGGCAAGCTGAAAAGTTTGCCTGACAACGGTGGGAATCGAACCTTCGACCTTTAGGATAGCAGTCCAATGCTGTGCCAACTGAGCTACCAGGTCAAGTCTGTTCGAGTGTGTGGTATTTCAGAACTAAGTCTAGTACCTTCAATACCAATGTGTTCTATGATCATGATATTTTTCAGCCTGCCCAGTGTGGATATACACTCAGAGTAACATCAAAAACATTATGTTCACCTGAGTACATAACATCAAAACACACAAAAATATGAAACTAGCTTTTCATATCTGAAATAAAAATGGTTGCATTATTAAACCTACAGATTCATTTTCCATAGATAGATCAACCCAATATAAACATTCCCGCAATAACTGTGCATTTAATGAACGAACGTTTTAAAAAGGTTTAGTTTACAATTTGACCCGGCAGAAAATTATCCTGAGTTATCAAGAATTCTTTCTCAATACTTTTAATCAAGTCTCTGTCGTCTTCGTTGTATAAGTCATCATTCGATGTGTCTTCTTGCACGTCTTGGTAGGACCTGGAGATGCGAGAAGAGAAATACGATACTCAGGGGTGGCGGAAAAAATAGGCTCGCAGGAAATGTTAAACACTGCAGGAAATTTGTTTGAATGAAGATTTGCTATCGAAAATTTGAAGGAAACCTTAACACCCATGTCCCACTATGGGCGCAACAACATATGGTTGACAGACATTATTCCTTGAATTTAAAACCATGGTCAGCTAGAACACTATACGTTTATGCACATGCAGATTTAGCACAAAAATACTCTGTTGGTCTGCAGGAAATTTTTGTCTCCAGGTTGTGCTCCCAGAAAGAAAATTCTTTTTTCCTGCCCTGACGATGTTTGTTGGTTTCAGTAAACGGGACAGTAGGTGACGCTTCATGCTTTTAGCAGCAAGAAAAAACAACAAAATCTCCATTTATTTTCCACCCAATGGATCAAATGAAGTATACTATTTTTTCAAAAGAATAATATTTTTTCACGCTGATAACTCTAGTGCAGGTTGACTAGCAGCTGCTGCACGATATGTTGATATGCACTATTAAAGTATTATGTACCTGTTTACTCTTTGACTTTCTCCTGTCAGTTTTGTTTTCAAACTTAATCCCACTTCATTATTGTTGGCATTGTCTCGTTTCTCGCCGTTGAAATTAGCGGCTCTGAATTTTTCTACGTCGATTATTTTGGAGACATCAAAGCTTTCCTCGTGATCACCCTAAATAACAAATGGGGAAATCTTCATTTGGATGAAGATATTCATTTGGAAGAATCTTGAATCTTTATTGAGGAAGCCGTCGTCATAGTGATTTACGGACGCGTCCTCAGGTCGTATTGGGTAGCCCTACAAGTTCTAAATTATTCTCCCTTGAGGCTGGTTCACACTATTATCACAGTAGGAATTTTGCATAGGTAAACTCTAAGTTTTGAAGGATTTGTAAGAAATGTTTTGATGGAACTGACTTGTGTGTTAACACTGACTCCCTCAAACATTGCTTACAAATCCTTCAAATTTTAGCATTTACCTATGCAAAATTCCAACTGTGATCACAGAAACTTTGATAGTGTAACCCAAGCTTCAGACGTCCAGTAAAGGCGATCCTATATTGATACCGAGAGAAAACTTGGCTCATGCATTACCACTGTACGATCAACTCCGAGGTGGCCAATATTATTGATCTGGTTTCACCAACCTCTTTATAAATTTTCAATACTTGATTTGAAGAATCTGAATTAGAAATCTCACTTAATGACGAATCATCATCAATGATCATCCCACTATCCCCACCATCAATAAACCTCGCTGTCTCGTCGACTTCACTAATTTCATACTCCTGTTCATAAAATGGATTAGTTTCTCTTCGTTGTGTCCGTAAATCCTCAAGAAAGTCTGTCTCTGTCGTAGAAGTCTTTTTACCCCAAGCTTGGACTTGTTTGAGCTCCTTCGATTTTCGTTCATGAGATTTTATCGAGCTCTTTTTCCCTCCAGAATTTCTTGGTTTAGTTGGCTTTGGGATCAGTATTTCGAGTGATTCTTGCGGCGATATTAAATTACTATCGCTGCTTATAACATTACTTTCGAGGATAACATTATTTGCTGTCTTTAATGTTCTAGTTTCTTTAAAATCCTGGGCCGGCACATTGACATCTTTTGCTCCGGTTTCTTGCTGGTTTGAAGTGTTCCCCGCTTCAGATGCATTATTTTCACTCGAAGCGCCACAACCCATGTTCAAGCCTCATTTCGAACACGTTTCATATACCAGACAACAGAAATGGCCACGCAAACAACGCGAGAATTTTAATAAAACTTGTTTGAGTTTCTTGTTTGACGTTCGGGATTCTAATTGTGCTATAGTAAATTAACTGCGTCAGCAAACGCTATAAGCTTCACGTTAATGCGCGCGTAAACAAAATGAAATATCTTCGACAAGTTCACAATCCAACTCTGATCTTAGCTTTTCTGTTTATTGTAATGCTTGGGTTTAGTTTAATTCCGGCATAGGCTGTGATTTAGAAGATTTAATGACAATATTTTGACCCTTTCGAAAGAGTGATTTCGTTGGCGTAGCTCTTATTGATCTGGTCTTGACCGCATGAGTGAGTTCTGCTAATTTACATTTTAATTATCGATAAAATTTGCATTGAACTTTATTAATGTACTTAATTATTCCTTGTGTAGATTTTCAATTTCGATGTGTTAGGGGAATCAATTACACTGAAATAAAAGCTGTTTTTTCTTCTTCAACTGACTATTGGCGGGTTTTGAAAGCGTTAAGACAGCAGATGGTGGTCGAAATTAAACTATGTCTTTTATTTCCACCAAGTGCAAGACAACTTCATATGTGCTAATTTGCACAGCTGCATTTGTGTTCTGAAGAATTAAACGAGTTTCGTTGTGTGTACAGTGTACGTTGCTGTTTCTCTTGTCTGCACAGGCTAGGCGTTTTTCGACCGCTATATACATCATACATTCATACGCAAAAATGTCTTCAAATTTCTCAAATTTGCAAAGAAACAACTTATGAACAAACAAACAAACAAACAATTAGGAAGAACACGCCAAACAAACAGTCAAGTCCGACAAAAATGCCAAGAACCCTCGACCCATTTCACAGTTGCACTTAATTAAACTAAGTTTCGGAATACTATTTTTGGGAAATCAGTCAAAATAAGTTTTGCGGCTTCCAAAATGCGTCAAAGGAAAATCAAAATATTTTGCAAATCAGAATATTTTCCGGGTCTGACGCAATCGTGCACGTTCTAATGACGTCACAATATAATATCAACCAATCAGCGAGCGATATTTATATTTTCGGGGCGGCCTGAGGTGTACTTAAGGGGCGTGGTGACGCTTTTGCTTCCCTTCTTCGCTTTCCGCCATTATCGCGTAGTCATTTTAAAGTGGCGTAGTTGGCTAGTCTAAACCGTCGATAATTTTAAGAAAAACAAACCAAAAAAATAATAAAATACAAGAATTGTTAGCCAGAAACTAACAGAAACAAAAAATAAACCAAAAAAATCGAAAAACAATTGGAAAAAGCCAAAAAAATCGCCCAAAGTTCTAGCAAGCTTATCTGGAAAACGTGTACTACGAAAGACGAACCGAAAATAATACAAGATGAACACTGCAGCCCCAAGTTCCTATCCGATGGCTACGCTTTATGTGGGAGACCTTGCTCCTGATGTCAACGAAGCTGTTCTTTTTGACAAATTCAGTGCAACTGGACCTGTTGTTTCTATTCGTGTTTGCCGTGATTTGGCGACCAGACGTTCTTTGGGTTATGCTTATGTCAACTTTCAACAATCGGCTGACGGTATGAAGGTTTTTCTTGTAATTTGTACAAATTATACTCGTTTCTGTTCAAATGTATAATATACTTGGTAAGTCTGTAAAAATATAGTGAAATTATTGTTTTTTTTGCAGCCGAAAGAGCGTTGGATACGATGAATTTTGAACCGATCAAGGGCCGGCCATGTCGAATCATGTGGTGTCAACGCGATCCTTCTCTGCGAAGATCTGGCGTTGGGAATATTTTTATCAAGAATTTAGATAAAAGTATCGACAACAAGGCCTTGTACGACACTTTCAGCGCCTTTGGTAACATCCTTTCTTGTAAGATCGCGTTGGACGAAAACGAAGGCTCCAAAGGTTTTGGTTATGTGCATTTCGAAACACAAGAGGCTGCTGATCAAGCTATAGAGAAAGTCAATGGCATGTTGTTAAATGACAAGAAAGTGTAAGTATGTGAGGAATTTTAGAAGAAAATTTGGTATAGATGCACAAATTTACAACTGGTTGCAATGTATTTTTAGTGTTTGGGGGTTAAATTTGTTAGAGATAAAAAATTTTGTTAACTACACGTGTCAAATTCATGTGTGATTGTGCAATAAGGGAGTGACCACAAATAGATTTTGACCCCTGAGATGAACTTGTAGGTTCTGTACACACATTGTCGCATACAGTTGGAACTGTGTCCAAATTGACATATTTTTTTATATATTCACATGCGACACATGAAATTGACGAATTCTGCCACCATACCAATTGCTTTCGGAACAAATGAACCGAAGCTTATTAACCTGCCCTATTGCACAGAGTAGAGAGACCACATATGACTTCCTGTTAACACTTATGATTGTGGTGTAACTGTTGCCATATTCCTAGCCAGTGTTCTTAAGAGAGGCATTCACCCCCCTGGAAATGCTGAAAATGGCAGATGTTCAGTGGGGTAAATGCCCCTTGTAAGTGCACTGGCTAGGAACATGGGAAATGCATTTTTGATGGCGAATTATGGTGTGGTGGTTTTATGCCTTTTTGTCCGAGTCAGAATTGGGTCGTTCCAGAAAAGATCCACACTCCCCCCACGGAGGAAATTTCTGCCGTCTGGAGGGGGAGGGGAGACAAAATTGTTTCTCATAATAGTAAATGTATTAGGACATCCAAAGGGGGTAGGGGGGTTAACTTCCAATTTCCTCCGTGGGGGTGGTATGGATGTTTTCTGGAATGACCCACTCCGTATGGTCTCTATTCTGTGTCTGTGGACTCAACTGCAATTGAGAATTTCCCTCCATCATCAGGTTTGTAGGGAAATGGATGTCGAGAAGGGAGCGTATAGAGCAGCTTGGCGATGCGCCGAGGAAATTCACCAATGTCTATGTGAAGAATTTTGGTGATGATTTCTCGGATGAAGAGATGAAGGAACTCTTTGAGCCGTTTGGTGAAATCCAGAGTATGAGAATCATGAGAACTGAAGATGGCAAAAGCAGAGGCTTTGGCTTTGTCAGTTTTGCTGAACCTGATAGTGCTGGACGGGTATGGAAGTTTGAGTGTGCTTGTTTATCTAGCATTTCTATAGTGCGAATTTATATTTAGATATGATCGAATGCACTTTACATCGACTATTATACAGCGCTCAAAATAACGAGAGATAGGTCTCCGGTCAAAATGATCTGGTCAACTTGATTTTAGCTCGGTCAAAGTCTGTTTTTGACCAGTGATTGACACACTTACACTAACAGTGAAACAAACTATTAGAAACTTGTTTGTATACATCATAGTTTCATGTTTTAATTCAAGACGTCAGCAATCACATTGGAAGGCATGAAAATGTGGCCGGTCAAAATGACCGGTGAGGTAAAAACATGACCGGTCAAGAGGCATTTTTGACCGGTCATTGTCTGTTGATCGGCCGTTATTTTGAGTCCTGATTATATGCTTCCCTATATGTTTGTGCAGTATTAATTATTATATTCTAAATGGGCGTTTGCAGAACACTTGCCGTAACAATGGTCCCACTCAGTTAGTCGTCAGAGTGTTCCATTGTCTGTGCTCTAAATCACTCTTGCAGACTGATCAGGCAGAACAAAAATGTCTCATCAATCGCATGATTCTACATGTGAGATATGCACTACTGGCTTATAAATAATTACATCGAGTCAGTCTAGTTATGTTGTCCTGATGGGGGAAGGGGGTTCTCCCATGGTCTTGCTGGGGGAAGTATGAATCTTTTCTAGAATGATCCGTTGTCTTTCATTAGGCTGTGGAAGAAATCAATGAGAAGGAGATGAACGGGAAAATCTTGTACTGTGGGCGCGCTCAGAAGAAATCTGAACGCCAAGCAGAGCTCCGACGTCGCTTCCAGCAGCAGAAGATGGAACGGATCAATCAGTTTCAAGGTGTTAACTTGTACATCAAGAATCTGGAAGAAACAATCGATGATACTCGACTGAGGAAGGAATTTGAGAGTTACGGTACTATCACTAGTGCTAAAGTGATGAGGGACGATAAAGGAAACTCTAAAGGTATGTTTGGCATTGAAATGGCAGTGTTATGGAGCGGTAAATTGTGGTAGGCTGTTGATACTGACAAGAAAAAGTACATCACCCAATTTTATATGTATATGCCAGCTTGCAGGGCTGCAAATTACTGTCGGACATCGGACAATGTCTGACTAAATTTGGCAAATGTCCGAGCAAAAGTAATTTTGATCGGACATTGGTCAGATCACATAAAAAATGTCACATTATACAATTGCAAATTCACTCAATTTGCATTTTGCAATAAAATTTACAAGACATTCTAGCATATACTTTTACTTAACGTTGTGTTGGAATGGTATACATACTTGTCTCGTGACTTATATGTATCTTGTGACATATATATGTCCGACCAAATTTAGTGATTTTGGTTTTTGTCCGACCAAATTCAAGTTATGTCCGACCAAAATTAAAAATGATCGGACAAATGTCCTGTCAAGTCAAATATTTATTTGCAGCCCTGAGATTGTGGCCATGAACGAAAACAAACATCCTTTTGATTTAACTACAGGTTTTGGCTTTGTTTGTTTCCAATCTCCTGAGGAAGCCACCAAGGCGGTGACTGAAAAGAACGGCCAGATAGTGATGACGAAGCCATTGTATGTTGCACTTGCTCAACGCAAGGAAGAGCGTCAGGCACAACTTGCAGCTCAACACATGCAGCGTGTCGCTGGAAGAATGATCCCGCAAGGAACTCAACCAGTTGGTCAGATGTTCACTGGTGGATTTTATCCTGCCATGGCCACATTCCCACCTGTATGTAGTTTGTTACTTTGTTTATATTGTAGACAATATTTATTTATTTTTTATTTATTAACTTTGCCAGATTTAAACAACGTTAACATAAAAAACTGGCAGGGCAATCGCAACAGCTTGCGCCAATTACTGCGATCCCTAAATGTTAGACAAATACACTATATACGTACATAGAAAGAATCAATTACTAACGAACTATCAGATGCAACTTTTCACATTGCGACCCGCAGAACCACTTCCATTTTTGGAAGCTGACTGAGTCAGAAGACATTTGAAACCCTCACAATCTTAAACCTTCAGCAAAACCTGAATAGATCCCATAGATACCAATGTGAAAAGGTACTTCTGAAAACTAAATCTAAAATCAACACGTTGTCGGCCTTGTCAGGTCGCGAGCTAAATTTGCTCCATTATGAACATTCAGGAAGCAGCAAGTCACTTTGATAGTCTAGTTATTGCATTCAGTGCATTGTATGGGTAGAGAGCTATAGAGTTGACTAGGAGAAGAAAAGCTATTAAATATGTCAACCATTGTACAACTATATAAGGTGCAAGGTTAGTCTGCCAGCCTTTGAAAAAAATATGGCTAGCCAAATCTAAAGCTGTCCAGCTATTTCTTTCGTCACATTCAACTTTTTATGCTCATTTATTTGCTCATTTCAGGGTCAGCGTCCGGCAATGTTCCCACCTCAAGTTGTCCGAACAAGATTCCCCACTCAGCCTGTGCGAGGGCAGGGGGCCTACCCGGGTCCCATGATGAACCGTGCTCCTCGAATGCAGCGAGCAACTCGTCCTGTCGGTCACCAACAACAGTCTCGCGTTGGCTCTGCTGGTCCAGGAATGCCTGGTATGTCTGGACAACGGATCAATCCGGTGCCAGGTGCAGGACCACGTAACCAGAAGTATCGGCCGGCTATGCATCAACAGGGTGCAGCCCAACAACCTCCAGCTAACGCTGCAAATTCTTCTGCTGGCGTTACTGCATCAGTAAGTAAAAGACTTTTTTGAGTATCACAGAGTGATATTTAACACATGCCCTAGTTCACCCTATGTTGTCAGGTCACTTTGCCTAATGCCAGATGCTTTTATTCATCTTAGGGTCAAGATTTGCTCAATCCATCAGTCCTGGCTCAAGCATCTCCCCCAGATCAGAAACAAATGTTAGGTGAACGTCTGTTCCCTCTGATCCAACAAACCCATCCTGAGCTGGCTGGTAAAATCACAGGCATGTTGTTGGAGATTGATAATGCAGAGTTGCTGCACATGTTGGAGTACCGTGAGGCGCTTTCTGCCAAGGTTGAAGAGGCTGTCTCCGTACTCCAAGCTCATCAAGCCCGTGAGCAAACACCACCAGCAGAACCCAAGAAGTAATTTGTCAAGAAAAAAGCTGAAAAAAAAAATAAACCTGGACGCGACGTATTATGTTTTCTTTACGTTTACGTATTGTTTTAAACTCCTCTTTGTTTAAAGGAAATTTATCACATTATTAAACATTGTTGAACTCTTATTTTGTGTGTTATTTGTGTTTATCTCCACCATTTCGTACGGATAAAATAAATTGCATTCTGGTCTTTTTCCGATTGATAGGATGCAAATACATGATAATTCGGGTCGGCACGAAGCTCTAGGAAGATGTTCTGTGATTGGTTGATTATGACAATGACAAAAGAATAATCTATAGAATGGATTTTCTTAAGAACGAAGCAAGAACAATATTCCTTTTGTTTATGTAACCAGTCACAGAACATCTTCCCAGAGCTTCATGTTTACTGGATAATTCAACCTTGTATTTTTCAGGTAGTTTCATGCCTACATAATCTATGTATAGAAGTAGACGCTGTATGCAATCACCTTTTGTAGCCTACACGCAGGCTGTCACCGTGGTGTTGCAGGATTCACTAATCGGAGATTTCCTATTTATACGCTTCTGTTCATACTGTAAATAGTTCCATTCATTCAAGGCGTTGCTCGATCGGAAATTTGCGAATTATACACGTAAAACGCACAAGTTGTAACAGACTTGTAGCAGTGCTCTTCCAACGACTTGTCAACAGGATGTGTTGGCACTGCTTGTTCCCAGCTTGTTGACAACTTGCTACAAGTTGTTCCAACAACAACTTGTTATCGTCCTGCAATTCAACAACTTGTCAACAAGTTGTGAGTGACAACCTTGTAGCAACTTGATAAAATAACAGCATTACAACTTGTTTATAAGCTTGCCACAAGCACAGAATAGGAAATTATACCAGAAGCGTAACTCGAGCAAATGTTTGTCCTCATTTTTACAAGCGATTCGTCATCAATCACGCCATCCTGGCTAGTACAACCGGCACTTTGTACCTACCAAATCCTGATAAAAACTTCCGGCTGTACTAGCCAGGATGGCGTGGCCTGACGTGAGCGAGTTAAAAATTTTCGTGGACGTCAAACAATAAGGGAAACGACTAGAGTTACGCTTCTGGTATAACTTCTTATTCTGTGCCACAAGCCTGTTGCGAACACATCTTGTCAACAAGTTGTGAGTGACAACCTTGTAGCAACTTGATAAAATAACAGCATTACAACTTGTTTACAAGCTTGCTACAAGCCTGTTGCGAACACATCTTGTTGACAAGTTGTGAGTGACAACCTTGTAGCAACTTTTTTCGAGGAAAGTTTTCTTTCCAATTATATATCTCGGACTGCCTTATCTCTGGTTTTATGGGCCCAATAAGGACAAAAATACCACCGTTCGATTCAGCGTAAGAAATTGTACTAACGGATGTCAAAAGTATTACTAAACAACAGTATTCTAGCGATTTATGGTCTTTGAAAGTCAAGCGAAATTGTATTGTTGACAAATCGCTCAAAATTATTAAACTAATAATTAAAAATGCAGTACGTTTGATCCTTCATATTAAACTTAGGTATTGTTGGTTTTCTCGTTTTCGGCCGTATACCAATGGATTCGTTCTTTTCGCTTCATTTTGATAGTATTTTGACCCAAAATAGTCTATTTTGAAGGTTTTAAAATTTAAAGTGCAGTTTTAATAAGCGAAATTGTTTGACAAGTCGCTCAAAATTATTAAACTAATTAAAAATGCAGTACGTTCGACCTTATTAATAACAATTTTGGTATCGTTGGTTTTCTCTTTTCGGCCGTTTACCAGTATATTCGTCTCACTTTTCTCTTCATTTTGATAGTATTTCGTGCCCAAAATATTTTATTTTGAAGGCTTTAAAACGCAGTTTTGATCCTAACTTAACTGAGTTGTGGTAGCTAGCGTGCTAAATATAACTTCACTCGTAACATGAGGCGGAAACGCCGAAAGTTTTATTTGTAGACGGCACCGATTCTAGGAAACGTGTACGAAAGACGAAGCGAAAATAATACAAGATGAACACTGCAGCCCCAAGTTCCTATCCGATGGCTACGCTTTATGTGGGAGACCTTGCTCCTGATGTCAACGAAGCTGTTCTTTTTGACAAATTCAGTGCAACTGGACCTGTTGTTTCCATTCGTGTTTGCCGTGATTTGGCGACTCGACGTTCTTTGGGTTATGCTTATGTCAACTTTCAACAATCGGCTGACGGTATGAAGGCATCTCTTTCTTGTAATTTGTACAAATTATACTCGTTTCTGTTCAAATGTATTATATACTTGCTAGATCTGTAAAAATATAATAAAATTGCTGCTTTTTGCAGCCGAAAGAGCGTTGGATACGATGAATTTTACACCGATCAAGGGCCGGCCATGTCGAATCATGTGGTGTCAACGCGATCCTTCTCTGCGAAGATCTGTTGTTGGGAGTATTTTTATCAAGAATTTAGATAAAAGTATCGACAACAAGGCCTTGTACGACACTTTCAGCGCCTTTGGTAACATCCTTTCTTGTAAGATCTCGTTGGACGAAAACGAAGGCTCCAAAAGTTTTGGTTATGTGCATTTCGAAACTCAAGAGGCTGCCGATCAAGCTATAGAGAAAGTCAATGGCATGTTGTTAAATGACAAGAAAGTGTAAGTATTTGAGGAATTTTAGAAGAAAATTTGGTATAGATGCACAAATTTACAACTGGTTGCAATGTATTTTTAGTAGCCTCCTCCACAGAGTAGAGACATACAGAGACGTAAATAGTGTACCCCCACTTTTTTTGTGCGCATGCTCGGCAAGTTACTAGATGCATGCATCTGATTGGATGACAACCTGATGACGACTCACTTTAAACTTGCTGAGCATGCGCAGTTGATCATTTTTCGCCCGGTCGCCTGAAAAAAAGTAGGTACATGATAACGTAATCTTCCGCAGTGTTTACAACGGTCAGTTACGTCTCTGTATGTCTTATCTACTCTGTGCCTCCTCCACAGGTTTTACTGTTTTAGCCTGCGAATGGGTTTTGAAAAAAAATTTTCTGACCACCCAATTCCTCGGGTGAGATGCCTACGGAGGGCATAGCAGCCCAGTGTCAGGGCCGTAGCGAGCGGGGGTGGGGGGGGGTTGCTTCGTTACTGTTCGCACAGAATAGAGATACCACACATGACTTCTTGTTATGGTTTTGGGTAACTGTTGCAATGCTGTTGCCATGTTCCTAGCCATTACTCCTTACATGAGGCATTCACCCCCTGGAAATGCTAAAAATGGCAGATGTTCAGGGGGGTAAATGCCCCTTGTAAGTGCAGTGGCTTCCTAGGAACATGGGAAATGCATTTTGATGGGAATCATGGTGTGGTGGTGTTACACTTTTTTGTCCGAGTCGGAATTCCGTATGGTCCCTATTCTGTGTCTGTCGACTCGACTGTAATTGAGAATTTCCCTCCATCATCAGGTTTGTAGGTAAATGGATGTCGAAAAAGGAGCGTATAGAGCAGCTTGGTGGTGCGCCGAGGAAATTCACCAATATTTATGTGAAGAATTTTGGTGACGATTTCTCGGATGAAGAGATGAAGAAACTCTTTGAGCCGTTTGGTGAGATCCAGAGCATGAGAATCATGAGAACTGAAGATGGCAAAAGCAGAGGCTTTGGCTTTGTCAGTTTTGCTGAACCTGATAGTGCTGGACAGGTATGGAGGTTTGAGTGTGCTTGTGTGTTGTCTATCTTTGTATTATATTCTAAATGGACCTTTGCAAACACTTGACGTAACAATAGGGCCACTCAGTCACAATTTAGTCATCAGAGTCTTCCATTGTCTGTGCTGTGAATCACTCTCTCAGACTAATTACAAGTAATTAGGCAGAACAAACATGTCTAATCAATCGCATGATTGTATATGTGAGATCTTCAATACTGCTTAGAAATAATGACATTGAGTCAGTCTAGTAGTGGTCTTATATACTAAAACTGTCTGTACCAGTGTAGGTAGTACCAATGTAAAAATGCTGTCCTGAGTGGTTATATTACTACCTTAAAAAATAAGCAGAAACTCTTCCCCCTCTGTTGTCCTGATGGGGGAAGGGGGTTTCCCATTGTTGGGGAAGTATGAATCTTTTCTAGAACGATCCATTGTCTTTCATTAGGCTGTGGACGAAATCAACGAGAAGGAGGTGAACGGGAAAATCTTGTACTGTGGCCAAGCAGAGCTCAGGCGTCGCTTCCAGCAGCAGAAGATGGAACGGATCAATCAGTTTCAAGGTGTTAACTTGTGCATCAAGAACCTGGAAGAAACAATTGATGATACTCGACTGAGGAAGGAATTTGAGAGTTACGGTACTATCACTAGTGCTAAAGTGATGAGGGACGATAAAGGAAACTCTAAAGGTATGTTTGACATTGAAATGGCTTGCTTTTTAGTGTATTGGCAGGTTTCAGTAAGTGTTACGGAGCAGTAAATTGTGATAGACTGTTGATGCTGATAGGAACAAGAAAAAGTACATCACTCAATTTTTACATATACGCCAGTGACCAAATAAAAATATTATACCTCAAATTCAAATTGTCCAATCAGGAAGCTTAGTTTGTGCCACGTGAGCATGAAATTAATCGCGATATCACGCCTTACGTCATCAATTAGCGAGCCTGCGTTCTTTTTGACATAGCTCAGTGGTTCCACCCCATGTTCCCCGGGGAACATGGGGTGGAACATTATTCGCGTAGACCACGCGAGACAACACGCATGACAACAACATGGCCGACAAAATATAAATGGTATTATACAATTACTTTATGGTTTCCGTGTTTGGATGGCCTGATCCAAACACGCGGGAATGTTGCGAGAGTTAAGAAAAGCGCGCGAAACACGAGCCGAAGGCGAGTGATTTTGCGCACTTTTCTTAACTCGAGCAACATTCCCAAGTGTTTGGATCAGGCCATCCAAACACGGAAACCATAAAGTAATTGTTTTATAAAATAACTACAACACGATAGTCTTCCGTGTTTGGATGGCCTGATCCAAACACGGGTTTCGACCAATCAGAGCACGCGTTATATACATGTTATTTTATAATGATGAGTGATGAATAATCTGGGTAAATGATGTAAGACCTGGGGCTTTTTCAAAATTTTGAAGTAAATTTTGAAAAATGTTGTCATTAATATTCCAAACGATATGTGATTCGAAAGAAAAGCGACGATACTTGCGTTAATCCGAAAATAAAACATCGTATTCACTATTCACGAAGGACCGAAGGTATGTGTCAAGTTTTTATTTCTCAACTTGGAGGCTTTTAATTTTCGGTATAATATATCATTTATAGACCCTCCGCTCGGGGAATTCGGCGAAATATTACCCTCAGTGATGATATTTCCCTCGGGGCAAAGCCCCTCGGGAAATATCATCACTTCCGGTAATATTTCGCCGAATCCCCCTCGCTCTGGGTCTATAAATGATAAGGGTTGCATTGTGACATCATTGTTGATGCTGATCAACTGTTGTTGACACTTATAGCATGCAGCTAGCCAATTAACCCATTGAACACTTACTAGTACTCTCCCCTGGACAAGCAAAATCATCTGGCATTAGACAGAGTAATGTGAAGCTTGGTCCTCACTACGACGCATGCATAAGCACAAGTATTAGAGGGGATCAAACATATTAATTTCTTATGTACTGTCTTCACTACGATGCGACATAAGCAAAAGACAACCCTCGAAATTCGCCTCGGCACTCGGCAATTGCCGAGGCAAGTTACGATTTTTCATAGTTTGCCTCGGCAAAAAAATGCCGAGGCAATTTCCGCACCGGGGTGAACGAGTGTTATAACCTTGAATTACAAACTACAGCGCCGGTTCATTTTTCCCCCTAAAATTTACAAACTACAGTGTTCGTTTTTTGTACCACTTCTTTGTTGGAATTGTTGTCATCGACGTCGGGTGAACAACAGAAGATTTCACTCATAGCTACTTTACAAAATATTTAAATTTGAGCTTTTCAGCGTCGGCTTCCGTTGAAATAAAGAACAATCTTGATGGTTTAAAGATGGCACGTCGAGAAACTTTGTCAGTTTTTATCCTTTAGATTGTCACGCGATTACCGTCAAGTTTATTCTTTCATACTACTAGTATTTGTTGTTAAAAACATTTTGAATCAGGAATTTGTAAAATAACAACAAATTGTCAAACGTCAGAATCTACGCTCGTTATAATATTTGTTTACAATAATGTCCGTATATGTACTTTACTTTATTTACAACTGCCGACGTGAATGCCGAAGTAATTGCCGAAGGAATTTAAGGTGATTTCATTGCGTGCCTCGGCAAAAAAAATTGCCGAGGCAAACTCGAAAATTATCGAAAGACTTCGGCAATTATTTGCCGAGGCAAAAATAGTTGAATTTCGAGGGTTGAAAGAATATCAAAACGTTGTGTTCTTTTTCTTATGCTTCTGTTGTTGCTTATGCTTGCACTTTATCTTGCGTTGTAGTGAGGACACAGTGAGAACAAGACAAGCATAAGAACATCGAAGCATTTCCGCTCGTTTATCATTGCGCTTACGCTTACGCTTGTGTTGTAATGAAGACAAGGCTTAATGATGTAGGACATATAACTAGTTTACCCACAGGCTAGTGAATGCTGCCTTGGTATAGCATTGTTCCCAAATCTTTAAATGAGTTTTTTGTATGTTACGTAACACGCGCTCAAAACTAATGCGTATAATATACCACATGAGATTATGACTAAAATCAAAATTTTTATTTTTCGATACGTTTCTCAATCGGTAAAAAACCTTAAAAAGTATGTTTAGTGCTTTATCTGTAAAATAATGCTAAAATGAAGAGATTTTAGGTGATACGCCGAAGAGAAAATGATGTCTGACGTTCAGTACGTTTTGCTTAAATGGCTGTAAATATAGGTCAATTTTAAGGCATCATTGATAATTGTATTTTAATTGGCAATTTTTAACTATTATTTTATGTTTCTCAACCGGCAGACGCATTTAAAAGGTAGCTAACTCTATAAACTGTAGAGAATAAAGCTAAAACAAAGTAGTTTTGAGAGGAACGCCAAAACGATTTTAGGTTTTGAATACTTTTCATTGCAAATACGTGACATTGAAAAGAATTGCCTCTTAATATTTTAAAGAATAAGAGTAAGAAATATTCGTAATGAATTGGAATCATCCATAATTTATACACTTGAATGTGCCGTATGAGAACTCGGCGCCCGAAGTTTCGTATCGAAAGAGGAACAGCCGAACAGGTACGATGGCTAACAAGAATGAGTGTACTTATCAACTTATCTAACGCGAGGAAAAGATCAAAATGGCAGGTATGGCTGTGATATCTGGTATATAAAATTGTATAGACAATTTGCCCACAAATACGGTGCTAGATCAAAACGGCCCAAAGTCAAAACGGCCCCGCTTCAATAATCATGTGATTTAGACCAGGGGTTAATTAAAGGGCAATGAAAATGACATGCAGGTGACATTTAACATGTGCGAGTGTGCGTCTCACTAAATTTGCGTGTTTAATAATGTTATGATAATGTTTATCAAAGAAGGCAAAAATATATACAAGACAACCTCACATGTGGAATCTGTTCACTTACGCACTGCGTTGTGATGCAGTACAAGTACAAATACTAATGACAAAGCATTTTTAAAAGCTTTAAATCCTGAAACATAATTAAATCATACGGCACATTCAAGATTTTAATATCGTATTTCAGCCCCGTTTATACTGCTTGGCGCACATTTGCTGCGTTATATTAATTTATATATTATTATACCTATGTTATATACACAGATTTATTACTAATACAGGGTCCGAATTATCGCTACAAAACAGCTTCGCATTTTTTTTTGAAAAATTTCACGTTAAAATACACATTTTAGGACCCGATTTTTTTGAGCATCAGAAAAAGCCGAAAAGGAATGCGACGCATGCAATGATTTTGCTAAGGCATTTTGAACATGATTGCAATTATTTCACACTGGATAAAGCACTACATTCTGCTAAAAATCAAACGCTTCCGTAGTAAAATTGAAAATTCTAAAAATATGTATGCTCTCGCATTTGTATAAACATTTGGACAACCTGGCTGTGACAAGTAATTATCGAAGCAATGTTACCATGTGCTCAATGTCAAAACGTTACGTTTTCGTTGTTTTTTCCCCTAAAAAAAGGCTGCTATTTTTCGCACGTATACGTACAGAAAGTTTAAATCTTTCTAAATTTTATTTAAGTTCTACCTACCTCAACAACTGAGCCTTTAAATAGATCACGAAACTAAATGCAGGCCTTTTATTCATTTAATTATTTTATAAGAAACTTTTAAATGGTTCAAACTTTTCCATGCATGTACGCACGCACGCATACGAAAAACGCTTAACTGGAAAGCAGCCTTAATTAACAACACAAAATTTCAATCAGTAAACATTGCTAAAGTCAAGGAATTGCTGTATTTACAGTATACAGTATAGACCTTAGGGATACTTCACAATTGGGCATGTGTCCCCACGATTATGCAGGTCTATTATCCTTGTTTATACAGGTATACATCGTTTAAAATTCCATGATTTCTATCTTCTTTGAAACGCTAAGATGTAAGTTATATAATTTTAAATTAACAGTGAAGCAAATGGCTAAACAAACAATGAATTGTCGTTCTCACCGTTGACAACTGTGATGTCAACCTCAAAACACGAGCGCAGAACTCAAAAGTGAGATGCTCCACACAAATGAAATGAAATAGAAGAAAGTGAAGATTCCAGTGAAATGGAAGAAAGCTGGATATCAAGCATTAACTAAAGAAGCTTCGCAATTTTTAGAAAAATTGCTTCGCAATTTTACGCAATAACCAAAATCGCTTCGCATTTTGCGATTTGCGAAGCGTTAATTCGGACCTTGTAATAAATCAACACTATATGATAATATATAAGAACTCACAAAGTGCAGTCACCTTTTTATAAATAAACCTTTTTAAAAGCATATCATTGTAATTGCAGACCAGAAGCAAAAAGCACAGCCACGTAGGCCTACCAGATTTATTAAGCAATCGTGAGATTATATACATGGAAAGAATATGGAGATTATGTTAAGCACCCCGTATAATGACGAAAGCACCGCGTATAATGCTCGAACCAATGCGTATAATGGCGAACGCACCGCGTATAACGTTCGAACCACTGCGTATCGACAAAATGCCGTTTGATCAGTACTTACCCCAGGTATGGCTTTCCATAAAAGAAAACCAAAGATGAAAGATGATCACATTATTTGTTTGCCTTATGCCTGTTTATTAGGCAAAAATAGCCTGCCGGCCTGGAAGCAGTGCATTGTGGTAGGCCGAAATACGCCGAAACGATCGAGATTTCATCTGCCTTATATATATATACACATATACATAAAGATATAAAGATTAGGTCTGCTGCCTCGCTCGCTCGCTTCACGCTCGCTCGCTACGGCAGCAATGACAAGATCTCTGATAACTGCACATGCAGGTTGATCACCATCAATTGGCTGTAGGATAGTGCCCAGTGAAACCAACCTATTTAAAGCTTGTGACCATGAATAAAAACAAACATTTCGTTTTCCTTCAGGTTTTGGCTTTGTTTGTTTCCAATCTCCTGAGGAAGCCACCAAGGCGGTGACTGAAAAGAACGGCCAGATAGTCATGACGAAGCCATTGTATGTTGCACTTGCTCAACGCAAGGAAGAGCGTCAGGCACAGCTCGCAGCTCAACACATGCAGCGTGTCGCTGGAAGAATGATCCAGCAAGGAACTCAACCAGTTGGTCAGATGTTCACTGGTGGATTTTATCCTGCCATGGCCACATTCCCACCTGTATGTAGTTTGTTACTTTGTTTATATTGTAGACTATATTTGCTCCATTATGAACATTCAGGAAGCAGCAAGTCACTTTGATAGTCTAGTTATTGCATTCGGTGCATTGTATGAGTAGAGAGCTATAGAGTTGACTGGAAGAAGAAAAGCTATTAAATCTGTCAACCATTATACAACTATATAAGGCACAAGGTTAGTGATTAGTCAGCATCACTAGCAAGCTGCAAATCGTTGAATTCAACTTTTTATGCTCATTATTTGCTCATTTCAGGGTCAGCGTCCAGCATTGTTCCCGCTTCAAGTTGAACAAAGAAGTTTCCCCACCCTTTGCCTAATGTCACATGCTTTTATTCATCTTAGAGTCAATATTTGCTCAATCCATCAGTCCTGGCTCAAGCATCTCCCCCAGATCAGAAACAAATGTTAGGTGAACGTTTGTTCCCTCTGATCCAACAAACCCATCCTGATATGGCTGGTAAGATCACAGGCATGTTGTTGGAGATTGATAATGCTGAGTTGCTGCACATGTTGGAGTACCGTGAGGCGCTTGCTGCCAAGGTTGAAGAGGCTGTCGCCGTCCTCCAAGCTCATCAAGCAGGTCTAGAAATGCCCGATATGTCTGGACAACGGGTCAATCCGGTGCCTGGTGCAGGACCGCGTAGCCAGAAATATCGGCCAGCTGTGAATAAAGCAGGTGCAGGAATGCCCGGTATGTCTGGACAACGGTTTAGTCCGGTATCAGGGGCAGGACCACGTAGCCAGAAATATCGGCCAGCTGTGAATAAAGCGGGTACAGAAATGCCCGGTATGTCTGGACAACGGGTTAGTCCGGTACCAGGGGCAGGACCACGTAGCCAGAAATATCGGCCAGCTGTGAATCCAGTGGGTGCAGCCCAACAACCTCCAGCTAACGCTGCAAACTCTTCTACTGGCGGCGTGGCTATACCTGTAAGTACAGCAATTGTTTGAGCATCACTGATATCATATTTAACACATGCCCTAACCTGAGTATCAGGCTCTATTTTACAAATAATAGCCTGACACAAACCTTAATCTGATTACTTTCCACCCACAGCAAAGTTTACATTTAGTATCCAATCAAAATGTCGCGGAAGAAATTTAAATTTCACACAATGACAACAACAATCTAATTATAGTTGTGATCACTATAAAATATATCAACAACAGTAGTATAATCTAATTAGCACCAACCAATCAAATAACAGATTAAAAAATCTTTTGTCTCATAGACCAATCAGATTTACAACCGAAATACGGTTGTACGGCATGGACTTTTGTTAAGGTTTGTATCAGGCCTATTTATTTATTTATTTATAGGCCTGATCGCAGGTTACACATGCCCTAGTTCACAGATGGGGTTTTTTCATCGTAGAACCAAGATTTGCTCAATCCATCAGTCCTGGCTCAAGCATCTCCCCCAGGTCAGAAGCAAATGTTAGGTGGACGTCTGTTCCCTCTGATCCAACAAACCCATCCTGATCTGGCTGGTAAGATCACAGGCATGTTGTTGGAGATTGATAATGCTGAGTTGCTGCACATGTTGGAGTACCGTGAGGCGCTTGCTGCCAAGGTTGAAGAGGCTGTCTCCGTCCTCCAAGCTCATCAAGCAGGTCTAGAAATGCCCGATATGTCTGGACAACGGGTCAATCCGGTGCCTGGTGCAGGACCGCGTAGCCAGAAATATCGGCCAGCTGTGAATAAAGCGGGTGCAGAAATGCCCGGTATGTCTGGACAACGGATTAGTCCGGTACCAGGGGCAGGACCACGTAGCCAGAAATATCGGCCAGCTGTGAATCCAGTGGGTGCAGCCCAACAACCTCCAGCTAACGCTGCAAACTCTTCTACTGGCGGCGTGGCTATACCTGTAAGTACAGCAATTGTTTGAGCATCACTGATATCATATTTAACACATGCCCTAACCTGAGTATCAGGCTCTATTTTACAAATAATAGCCTGACACAAACCTTAATCTGATTACTTTCCACCCACAGCAAAGTTTACATTTAGTATCCAATCAAAATGTCGCGGAAGAAATTTAAATTTCACACAATGACAACAACAATCTAATTATAGTTGTAATCACTATAAAATATATCAACAACAGTAGTATAATCTAATTAGCACCAACCAATCAAATAACAGATTAAAAAATCTTTTGTCTCATAGACCAATCAGATTTACAACCGAAATACGGTTGTACGGCATGGACTTTTGTTAAGGTTTGTATCAGGCCTATTTATTTATTTATTTATAGGTCTGATCGCAGGTTACACATGCCCTAGTTCACAGATGGGTTTTTTCATCGTAGAACCAAGATTTGCTCAATCCATCAGTCCTGGCTCAAGCATCTCCCCCAGATCAGAAGCAAATGTTAGGTGGACGTCTGTTCCCTCTGATCCAACAAACCCATCCTGATCTGGCTGGTAAGATCACAGGCATGTTGTTGGAGATTGATAATGCTGAGTTGCTGCACATGTTGGAGTACCGTGAGGCGCTTGCTGCCAAGGTTGAAGAGGCTGTCTCCGTACTCCAAGCTCATCAAGCAGGTCTAGAAATGCCCGATATGTCTGGACAACGGGTCAATCCGGTGCCTGGTGCAGGACCGCGTAGCCAGAAATATCGGCCAGCTGTGAATAAAGCAGGTGCAGGAATGCCCGGTATGTCTGGACAACGGTTTAGTCCGGTATCAGGGGCAGGACCACGTAGCCAGAAATATCGGCCAGCTGTGAATAAAGCGGGTGCAGAAATGCCCGGTATGTCTGGACAACGGGTTAGTCCGGTTCCAGGGGCAGGACCACGTAGCCAGAAATATCGGCCAGCTGTGAATCCAGTGGGTGCAGCCCAACAACCTCCAGCTAACGCTGCAAACTCTTCTACTGGCGGCGTGGCTATACCTGTAAGTACAGCAATTGTTTGAGCATCACTGATATCATATTTAACACATGCCCTAACCTGAGTATCAGGCTCTATTTTACAAATAATAGCCTGACACAAACCTTAATCTGATTACTTTCCACCCACAGCAAAGTTTACATTTAGTATCCAATCAAAATGTCGCGGAAGAAATTTAAATTTCACACAATGACAACAACAATCTAATTATAGTTGTGATCACTATAAAATATTTGATCACATTGGCCGTGACTTAGATCGTGGTAAACAAATTGACGTAATTTATTTAGACATGTCAAAGGCCTTTGATAAAGTGAGCCACGCAAAGCTGTTACATCGCCTTCGTGAATTCGGGTTTGGAGGAAGCATTCTCAAATGGTTCGGTTCATATCTGACCAACCGATATCAACAAACGACCGTTCTTGGAGCAACGTCGAGGCCGCTTCCAGTAACATCAGGAGTGCCGCAGGGGTCCATCCTCGGTCCATTATTGTTCCTTCTATATGAGAATCATCTCTCCAATTCCGTGACCAATTCAAGGATTGCTATATTCGCGGACGATACCAAGATCTTCAAGACCATCAATTTGATCTCTGATGCGTCTGCTCTACAGAATGATCTGTCAAACTTCCAAGAAAGCTCAAGCACTATTAACCTCGAATTAAATAACACCAAATGCAAAGTCTTAAGAGTCACCCGAAAGCACAATAAAATTACTTATCCATACAAACTTAACGATACCATCCTAGAATGCACGGACTGTGAACGAGATCTTGGAGTTTTAACATCTTCTACTCTGACTTGGTCTAAACAAGTTGACCACCTGTGCAACAAAGCCACCAAAATGCTAGGATATGTCCGAAGATCAAACATCAAAGATATCACGGTTCGCCGCAGACTATATTTATGTCTTGTTCGTTCCCAGCTATGCTATGGATCTCAAATTTGGGCACCACAATCAGTAACCTTAATTAAACGCGTGGAAAGACTTCAAAGACGCGCAACAAAGTACATCCTGAATCTGCCCTTCCGTTGTGGCACAACCTACAACCAGAGACTTGCACTTTTAGATCTCCTTCCATTGTGCTACTGGCATGAATTTCTAGATATGGTAACCTTCTACAAATTAACGCATGGCATCATGACCATTGACAGTAATTTAATACAGTCGTCACCCAATAACAACAGAAGACAAACCAGGTCGTCTAATCCCAATCACCTGTCAATCACAACGGCACAATGCAAGACCACTACCTACCAAAGGTCATTTCTCAACCGAACAAAGAGACTATGGAACGCATTACCAAAAAGTTTGACAAGCAATAACATTAGTTTAGGACAATTCAAAAACGGACTTTCAAAATATTACAAGTTAGCGTTGGAAGACGTTTTTAACGTTGATGATTCAAGGACATGGAAATCTATATGTTTGTCTTGTAACAAGTCTCGTAATCTGTCCTGTCAAATATCGTGTTGTTATTAGATTTATGTTCGTTGTATATTGTTGTATAGTATTAAAATAGTTAATGGGCCGCTGTAATTGGTGAAAACTGTTGCGTGCACCCTGCCAATGAAACACATATTATTATATGTTGTTGTAAATCAGTGGTGTTATATGTTGCATGTTACTTGGCAAAGTTAAATAAATTAAAATATATCAACAACAGTAGTATAATCTAATTAGCACCAACCAATCAAATAACAGATTAAAAAATCTTTTGTCTCATAGACCAATCAGATTTACAACCGAAATACGGTTGTACGGCATGGACTTTTGTTAAGGTTTGTATCAGGCCTATTTATTTATTTATTTATAGGCCTGATCGCAGGTTACACATGCCCTAGTTCACAGATGGGTTTTTTCATCGTAGAACCAAGATTTGCTCAATCCATCAGTCCTGGCTCAAGCATCCCCCCCAGATCAGAAGCAAATGTTAGGTGGACGTCTGTTCCCTCTGATCCAACAAACCCATCCTGATCTGGCTGGTAAGATCACAGGCATGTTGTTGGAGATTGATAATGCTGAGTTGCTGCACATGTTGGAGTACCGTGAGGCGCTTGCTGCCAAGGTTGAAGAGGCTGTCTCCGTACTCCAAGCTCATCAAGCCCGTGAGCAAACACCAGCAGAACAACCCAAGAAGTAATTTGTCAAGAAAAAAGCTGAAAAAAAAACCCTGGACGCGAGTTATTATGTTTTCTTTACGTTTACGTATTGTTTTAAACTCCTCTTTGTTTAAAGGAAATTTATCACATTATTAAACATTGTTGAACTCTTATATATTTGTGTTATCTCCACTACCTTGTACGGATAAAATAAATTGCATTCTGGTCTTTTTCGGATTGATAGGGATACAACTACATGATAATTAAACGGTATTTCAACCTTGTATTTTTCAGGTAGTTGTATCCCTACACAATCTATGTATAGAAGTAGCCTACACGCAGGCTGTCGCCTTTGTGGTGTTGCAGGATTCACTAATCGGAGATTTCCTGCTTACCCTTCTGTTCATACTGTAAATAGTTCCATTCATTCAAGGCGTTGCTTGATCGGATATTTCCGAATTACACACATAAAAACGCACAAGTTGTAACAGACTTGTAGCAATGCTGTTCCAACAACTTGTCAACAGAGGATGTGTTCGCACTGCTTGTTCCCAGCTTGTTGACAACTTGCTACAAGGTTGTTGAGCTCAACAGAGTTGTTACAAATTGTTCCAACAACTTGTTATCGTCCTGCAATTCAACAATTTGTCAACAAGTTGTGAGTGACAACCTTGTAGCAACTTGATAAAAAACAACATTGTTACAACTTGTTGACAAGCTTGCTACAAGCCTGTAGCCTGCATGAGCCGTTACGCAGGCTACAAGCCTGTTGCGAACACATCTTTGGAACAAACTGTTAACAACTTGTAACAACCTTGTTATTGGCAGACTTGTTGCAAGGTTGTTCCAACATGTCTGATAATGTCATGAAATAACAATATTGTTACAACCTTGTGTCGTCGACCTTGTAACATTCTTACCTTGTAACAAGTCTGATAATGCCATCAAGCTTGTTACAAGTTCTTAACAGCTTGTTCCAAATTTGTTACAACAACTGGGATCGACAGCTTGTGAACAGATTTGGAACAAGAAGCCAGGCTCTGTACTTCCGCTCTGCTCGAGCGTCTTGAGAAGGAAGCGGAAGTTGGTGAGCTTGCTGGCAGCTGGCTTGCGAGGTTGGTATTATTGTATTTATAATTTAATTTATAAACTTTTCAGACAGCGTTAGGATATAAAGAAGCTTTCGTTGGTAGGGATACAACTACCTGAAAAATATAAGGAGAATTTCGACGTTTCGAGCGAAGGCCCACTCGTGGAAATTCTCATATTTTTCAGGAAGACGTTTCGCTACGACGCTACTATAAACGAAAGCTTGTTTATATTTATATTGGCACCACTGACCCAGACAGTTCAAGCGTTTATAGGAAAGCCTGTTGAAATACTGCATTTATGAAATTTATTCAAACCTATTTAAACTCCTCGTGTTCTAGGGTAACATTTTACCATAACAAAGGTTTTGTCAGTTTAGCTGATCAGTACAACTGGACCTGTTGTTTCTATCCGTGTTTGCCGTGATTTTTGGCGACTCAACGTTCTTTGGGTTATGCTTTAATATGTCAACTTTCAACAATCGGCTGACGGTATGAACGCATTAAAGCACTCTCTTTTATTGTGATTTGTACAAATTATACTCGTTTCTGTTTAAATGTATTGTTATGCACTTGTCACTTGAAACCCCCACCTTCCCACCCCGGGGAAACATGGGGGATTAGACAAAATGGGGAAAATCAAAGAAAATGCCCCACCCTATGGGGACGAATATTTAGGCTAATCCTCTACTAATGGTCTTGTTATTAAACCTGGCGACAAAGAGTTTAAAATACATTGCTCTTGACTTTTTTTGAATGGAATGTTGTTGGACTATAAAATTGTAAATAGTGAATGAGAGAAATACATTGGAAAAAACTCACCTTTCAACTCCTTCACCCCGAATGACCAGTGCTTAAGTGCAGTCTCCCTCATTTTTGGATGTTGACAAAACTGATTTAATCTCTCACCCCATGCCAGCTAGGCCATGGATGTATGCAGGATGTTTTCATCAGGGGGGGGGGGCAGTAATGTCTACATGCCGAAAAAAGTCCTGTAAAAATGGTGAGTATTGTTTTCTCTGGGGGGGGGGCAGTTGCCCCCTGCCACCCCCCTGTGTACAGCCCTGCCTGAGGCACAAATGATACTTTAAACTTCACTCGTCCCCACGCATGCCCCATGTTTGCCTGGGGTGGGGAGGGTGGGGGTTTTCCAGTGACAAGTGCATTATATACTTGCTAAATATGTGAAAATATAGTGAAATTATTGGGGTTTTTTGCAGCCAAAAGAGCGTTGGCTACAATGAATTTTGAACCGATCAAGGGCCGGCCATGTCAAATCATGTGTTGTCAATGCGACCCTTCTCTGCAAAGATCTGGCGTTGGGAATATTTTTATCAAGAATTTAGATAAAAATATTGACAACAAGGCCTTGTACGACACTTTCAGTGTCTTTGGTAACATCCTTTCTTGTAAGATTGAGTTGGATGAAAACAAGATCTCCAAAGGTTTTGGTTATGTGCATTTTGAAACACAAGAGGCTGCCGATCAAGCTATAGAGAAAGTCAATGGCATGTTATTGAATGACAAGAAAGTGTAAGTATTTGAGGAATTTTCGAAGAAAATTTGGTATAGATGCACAAAATTACAACTGTATTTTTAGTGTTAGGGGGGAAATTTGTTAAGCCTGCAGCACACGAGAGCTATCTGCTGAGCAAAAAGTTACTCGTGCCTGTTAGCTCAGCCAATAGCTCACAGTGTGCGCGTACATTTTACTGCGTTTTTTGCCTGATGCAACCTTTTCTCACGTATCAAACATGTTTGATCGGTGAGCTATCAGCTGAGCTAACAGGCATGAGTAACTTTTGGCTCAGCAAATAGCTCTCGTGTGCTGCAGGCTTTAGAGATTGTTAACTACATGTGTCAAATTCATGTGTGATTGTGCAATAAGGGAGTGACCACAAATAGATTTTGATCCCTGAGATGAACTTGTAGGCTAGATCTGTTCATACATTGTCGAATGCAGTTGGAACTGTGTCCCGATTGACATAATTTTTTATATATTCACATGCGACACATGAAATTGATGAATTCTGCCACCATACCAATTGCTTTTGGAACAAATGAACCGAAGCTTATTAACCTGCCCTATTGCACAGAGTAGAGAGACCACATATGACTTCCTGTTAACACTTATGATTGTGGTGTAACTGTTGCAATACTGTTGTCATGTTCCTAGCCAGTGTCCTTAAGAGAGGCATTCACCCCCTGGAAATGCTGAAAATGGCAGATGTTCAGTGGGGGTAAATGCCCCTTGTAAGTGCACTGGCTAGGAACATGGGAAATGCATTTTTGATGGCGAATCATGGTGTGGTGGTCTTACGCTTTTTTGTCCGAGTTGGAATTCCGTATGGTCTCTATTCTGTGTGTGTGGACTCGACTGTAATTGAGAATTTCCCTCCATCATCAGGTTTGTAGGAAATTGGATGTCGAAAAAGGAGCGTATAGAGCAGCTTGGCGATGCGCCAAAGAAATTCACCAATGTCTATGTGAAGAATTTTGGTGACGATTTCTCGGATGAAGAGATGAAGAAACTCTTTGAGCCGTTTGGTGAGATCCAGAGCATGAGAATCATGAAAACTGAAGATGGCAAAAGCAGAGGCTTTGGGTTTGTCAATTTTGCTGAACCTGATAGTGCTGGACAGGTATGGAGGTTTGAGTGTGCTTGTGTGTTGTCCATCTTTGTGTTATTCTAAATGGACCTTTGCAGAACACTTGACGTAACAATGGTGCCACTCAGTCACAATTTAGTCATCAGAGTCTTCCATTGTCTGTGCTGTGAATCACTCTCTCAGACTAATTACAAGTAATTAGGCAAATAATTAGGCAAAACAAAAATGTCTAATCGCATGATTCTGTGTATGAGATCTTCAGTACTGCTTAGAAATAATGACATTGAGTCAGTCTAGTAGTGGTCTACCCCCTCTGAAAATTGATGTTGTACGGGGGAAGGGGTCTCCTATGGTCGGGGAAGTATGAATCTTTTCTAGAATGATCCATTGTCTTTCATTAGGCTGTGGACGAAATCAACGAGAAGGAGATGAACGGGAAAATCTTGTACTGTGGGCGCGCTCAGAAGAAGTCTGAACGCCAAGCCGAAATACGCCGTCGCCTCCAGCAGGAAAAGATGGAACGGATCAATCAGTTTCAAGGTGTTAACTTGTACATCAAGAACCTGGAAGAAACGATCGATGATACTCGACTGAGGAAAGAATTTGAGAGTTACGGTACTATCACTAGTGCTAAGGTGATGAGGGATGATGTAGGAAAATCCAAAGGTAAGTTTGGCATTGAAATGGCTTGCTTTTTAGTGTATTGGTAGGTTACAGTAAGTGTAACATGGCGGTAGATTGTAGTCAGCTTCAGATAACTGCGCATGCAGGTAGATCACCATCAATTCACACTGAGCAATATCATACAGCCAATTTAATTGGCTGTATGATAGTGCTCAGTGAAACCAACCTATTTAAAGCTTGTGACCATGAACAAAAACAAACATTTTGTTTTCCTTCAGGTTTTGGCTTTGTTTGTTTCCAATCTCCTGAGGAAGCCACCAAGGCGGTGACTAGAAAGAACGGCCAGATAGTCATGACGAAGCCATTGTATGTTGCACTTGCTCAAGGCAAGGAAGAGCGTCAGGCACAGCTCGCAGCTCAACACATGAAGCGTGTCGCTGGAAGAATGATCCCGCAAGGAACTCAACCAGTTGGTCCGATGTTCACTGGTGGATTTTATCCTGCCATGGCCACATTTCCACCTGTATGTAGGTTGCTTACATATATAGTGTATTTCTTCATATTATAGACTATATTTGCTCTATTCTAAACATTCAAGAAGCAGCAACTCACATTGATATTCTAGTTATTGCATTCAGTGCATTGTATGAGTAGAGAGCTGTAGATTTTCAGTAAGAGAAGAAAAGCTGATAAATTTGTCAACCATATACAACTATATAAGGCACAAGGTTAGTGTTTAGTCAGCATCACTAGCAAGCTACAAATCGTTGAATTCAACGTTGTATGATTTATTTGCTCATTTCAGGGTCAGCATCCAGCATTGTTCCCGCCTCAAGTTGTCAGAACAAGGTTCCCAACTCAGCCTGTGCGAGGGCAGGGGGCCTACCCAGGTCCCATGATGAACCGTGGTCCTCGAATGCAGCGGGCAACTCGTCCTGTCGGTCACCAACAACAGTCTCGCGTTGGCTCCGCTGGTCCAGGAATGCCTGGTATGTCTGGACAACGGGTCAATCCGGTGCCAGGTGCAGGACCACGTAACCAGAAGTATCGGCCGGCTATGCATCAACCGGGTGCAGCCCAACAACCTCCAGCTAACGCTGCAAATTCTTCTGCTAGCGTTGCTGCATCAGTAAGTAAAAGACTTTTTTGAGTATCACTAAAGTGATATTTAACACATGCCCTACCTAGTTCACCCTATGTTGTCAGGTCACTTTGCCTAATGCCAGATGGTTTTATTCATATTAGGCTCAAGATTTGCTCAATCCATCAGTCCTGGCTCAAGCATCTCCCCCAGATCAGAAGCAAATGTTAGGTGAACGTTTGTTCCCTCTGATCCAACAAACCCATCCTGATCTGGCTGGTAAGATCACAAACGTGTTGTTGGAGATTGATAATGCTGAGTTGCTGCATATGTTGGAGTTCCGTGAGGCCCTTGCTGCCAAAGTTGAAGAAGCTGCCTCCATACTCCAAGTTCATCAAGCAGGTCCAAGAATGCCTGGTATGTCTGAACAACGGGTCAATCCGGTGCCAGGTGTAGGACCACGTAGCCAGACATATCGGCCAGCTGTGAATCCAGCGGGTGCAGCCCAACAACCTCCAGCTAACGCTGCAAACTCTTCTGCTGGCGGTGCCATACCTGTAAGAAAAACACTTTTTTGAGCATTACTGAAGTGATATTTAACACATGCCCTAGTTTACCCTACTTTGGCAGATTACTTTGCCTTAATGCCAGATGGTTTTATTCATCTTAGGCTCAAGATTTGCTCAATCCATCAGTCCCGACTCAAGCATCTCTTCCAGATAAGAAGCAAATGATAGGTGAACGTTTATTCCCTCTGCAGTGGCGTGGCCAGGCGGGCGGTCTTAAAGAGGATGTCTCGGACGCTCATCAAGCCCGTGAGCAAACACCACCAGTGAAGTAATTTGTCAAGAAAATGACTGAAAAAAAAAGAAATTTGGACGCGATGCATCTTTACGTTTATACATTGTTTTAAACAATCTACCTCATTCTATGCGCGGTCATGTCAATTAGCGCAGTGCTTTCAAATCAGCCCTGAAAACCATTACAATACTGCTTTAACTATAACTTTGATCCTGAAGTCTGACTTCATCGCCCTTATTCCTTAATAATTTTATTGATTTTATATCTAACGTTTTACTGTCTGTATATGTGTATATCTGTATATGTGTATATCTGTTTTTGTGCGTTCGTATAAGACGTACTATAAAAAATATTGTAGATAATACTATATATAATAGACTTTTTTTGCAGTTTACCCGGTTGGGTGGAAAACCTGTCGTGAACTTGCCCCATTATACGTGACATTACGATATATTTATATTTTTTCAAACATTGTACAATGAATGCTTATAAATAAATAAATAAATAAACGGTAAATAAATAAATAAATAAGTAAATAAAACTCTTATTTTGTGTTGTTTGTGTTTATCTCGTTGAGTGAGTGCGGATCTTCTATACACCCTAGAATTAAGTCCTTTATATTTTCACGGTTAATGGAACATTTACGAACTTATACAATTATTATTAAGACCCTTCATATGTTTAGATTATCAGTAAACGCCGATATCTTGATCCCGAAAACGACGCTCTACAGTCGCAGCAAAGTTCATTGGGGAATAGTGTATTCTTCATATTACCTCGTACGGATAAAATAAATTCCATTCTAGTCTTTAGAGGGCCCTGTACCGGGTTCCGAAATCCCGACCAATTTTCACTTTAACTCTCGTTACCCGCCATGCCTCATCCCAATTTCCCGCTCCCGACTTCTTTTCTAACACTGACCACTGTTATTATCAACATATTATGATTTAGATTTGATTTAGATGTAGACAATGGATATAACCACGTATTCAAAGATAAAGTAACGACATAGAATACAATTTGAATACACTAGAATACAATAAATGATTCTACATCGCGACTCTTCTCAAGCCACAATCATTGCATGTAAATTGATTTCATCCTCGAAAACAGTCAATTTCGAGCAAATTAATTAAACATTGTAGATTTATTCCGCTAATCGTGGATTACTTTCCCGCATATCGCCATGGTATTTTTGTTAAGGGGGAGCTTCACCTCAAAATTTAGTCGATTAGGATGAAAATGTCAAAATATCTAAAACATCATGATAGGATACCTAAACATGTATTTTATCAATTAGTGAAGTCTTTATTTAAATTTCCATACTTTTTACGGAAAAAAATAGACTTTAGAGAAAGGATGTGAGATTTCATTGAATGTTTACACCAGGTTACCATGGAAACGAGCTTCAAAAATCCTCTAAAAAAGTCGTTTTACTGTGTGATTTCAATGTAAAAATATTATACAGGGCTACCTATGCCAATGGTGTGTATTATGGATATGAGAGGCACATAGGGACATGCTACAATTGCATAATTTTGTTATTTACATAATTTTACTCATTTACATGAGGCTTTGAGAATATATTCCGCTAAATTTTCTATTTTGTCGCTATATTTTGTTGCGTTTTTGGTTTGTAATAATGCCAAAAGGTTCCAAAGAAGGAACAAACTTTCGTGTGAAAAACAAATCAAAGAAAAAGCCCGTTTCAAAGGGAAACGATTCTGAAGATGGCGATGTTTTGAAGGAAAGTTCCTGGCTCTCAAATCTAACACCCGATCTGGATCAGAAGAGTAAAATGAAGACTAATATGACGACGGTTTATTGAATAAAACTGATGAGAAGTCACATCGGCAAAGAAACTGGAGAAAGCTAATTTAAAGGGATATTATAAACTGCAAGGCAAACTTCACAAGGACAAGAAAGATATCGGATTGTTTGTATTGAAAACATTAGGAAAACAGTTGAGAACATGCATAAGTGCAAAAATGAAAACATTATAACTTCTGAAGATGCTGCAAAACGTGCTGGACTGAGCAGTACTTAGTTTATTATTATTTTGAGTGCAGAGGATTGACATGGATACATAGAAGCCAGTTGAGGGAAAGGCATGTTCTTTTGATGTAGAACTAATTTTCCTATGGGTGAGCTGGGCTTAGGTTGGGAAATTCTTTTAACTATTTGTGACATTTTGAACATTGGCCCTCCAGTTTATAGTGATAGTGCTTACCAAAAACACAATCAATCGGTGAATCTAGCAACAAGAAAAGTCTTGGAAGAAAGATTGAACATTGGCGCGGCTGGTCGACTTGATATTGTAATGAAAGAGCTGAAAATGTCTGCTGGTTTTTATACAAAAACTGGAAGTGGGAGAAAGAATGACAAGAGAGTAAAACAAGCAAATGCAAGGGCCCAGGTGAAGTTCAAGGAAGCAAGACAGAAGATTCAACAGGCAAAATTGGCGGAAGAGGCAAGATCGAACGCACGGAAAGGAGTAACATATGAGAGCGCGGCATTTAACGTGGATTGTTTTAGTGGTTCAACTAAGAGAAAGAGGATGACAGGAAAAGTAGTGGTAAAAAGGGCAAAAGCAAGCTGCCAAGAAAAGAATAGAGCCTCAAACACTCTTATAACACTCAAACAACAAGTTCCAACGGAAATTAAACTTTAACTGTCTATTTCTCAAAATGTGATATTTGGCCGCACGTCAACTGCCCCCCTAGCTTTTCTTGTTACTGTTTTAATGAAAATTTCCAATTTTTGGCACAGATGTAGTTTAAGGTATGTAGAATGCAACTATGAGCCATTTTTTTGATATTTATTTTCTAACAGGATTTATAGTGAAAAGTGTATATGCAATCTGTTTTATCCGTTACCATAGCAACCATGGTGAATTACAAAAAAATGGCTCATAGGAGCATAGTTCAATATCTTAGCTACCACAAGGTGCATTTTCACTTAGATACATCACATATTATGTGAAATTTTATGGGGGGGGCAAAAGTGGCCTGTAAAATCCAGTTTTCCATATACTATCGCTTCTTTGGTGTCAAATTTCAGTCCGATACACCGAACCGGAAAATTTTTTGTCTCAGCTGATAGCTGAAGATCTCTAGTTTCTAAAAATATATAGTTTATGCATATTTTGCTTAAAAATATGCCTCCTAACAATTGTTAAAGTTTTGTCCATTTTGAAGTACGATTGGGGTGAAGCTCCCCCTTAATCCCACTTCCCGTGATGGAATAATTGCGGGAATAAAATCCCGCTTCCCGACCAATCAAGATCCCGAATCCCACTTGAATTTTAAATGCATCGCGCAAAACCGGTACAGGCCCCTCTCTTTAGATATCGGGCACGAAAAATTTCTCTTAGATCGTGACTACTGTCCTAACCTTAATTTAAAAACGTATGTTTGCACAAAACATGCCAGGGGAAAAGGATACAATCTATGTCCTACGAAAACGTGTAACGGTTTTTCACGAATTTACTCGGGTGATCCGTGATGACTAAAGCTTGCATTCAATTTTCCATATACAAATTACAAAATGTGCTAAACTATTAAAATTAGTGAACCGGTTTCCAAGTAATATGTAATGTCGGAAGCATTAAATTTTCTGTATTACCCAACAGCTTGAAAATACACAATTAGATTAACATGAGGGAAATCTTTTTTGCGCAAAACGGCATTTGTATTGGTAAAATGATAAGAATGGATCGAGATATTTATCTAAAGTTCTAGCAAAAGTCGATATGCGCACCAAAATTCGCAAACGTGTAAATATTTTGAAATATCTCACAATTAAAAGACGCTCATTAGCGATCATTATTTGAAAGCGCGATAATTAATTAGCGTCGAACGCGCGAAAATATATTCCCGCGGGATTTTCGGCAGCACTGAGCCCGCGCTTTCTGTCATAGCGGTATTAGCACTTAATCCTGCATCTTGATTGGTTGTTACGATATCTTTCTAGCATTTGATTGGTTGAGAATTTTGGCGGCTGTTTACGATGTCGTGATCAGACGAATTTCAAATGTGCAAATGTCGCGAACAAGCAGTGGATATCATTCTGATGAATGTGATTATTGAAAATTTGTCTTTCTCTACTGCTTTCTGAGCGATTTTAAAGCGATTTCTTGATATTCAAGAGTTTAGTATTAATATAAGTGATATAGGATGGCTCAAGGAAGTTTTTCAGGCGAAACTCGGATGCTTTCGCGCTCAATGGAGCAAATGTGTGTCAACACACCGGTGGGGAAGAAGGCAACGAAGCGCAATGGCGATTCGTTTGAAAGCGATTTATCCGCACCGTTAAGTCCTCCACAGACTATCGACACGAAGCAGAAGAGAGAAAGAAGCGAGTCGTTAATGCTTTGCCACACAAACGACATGGTAGCGACGAAACGGAGACTTCGTAGCCGATCAAGGCTTGACCTTGGACCTGAAGACATTCCTTCTGCATACATGAGTCCACCATGCAGCTCAAAAACACGAGATCGAGCACAGAGCAGGTCACACAACCAAAATGAAATGTTTTGTCATCCTGAAGAATTTACCAAGTGTCTGGCATTTAACGTTGAAGCGAGTTCAGTTTACATGACTCCAGCGTCTGAGCCTAGAGAGCCTTTGCAAGATAAAGACATGAACAAAATAGATCCTGAAAATTTATCTAGTTTTCATCAAGAATTATGCCAAAGCGACAGTAGTAGCGATGAAGAGACAATTCCATGTCTGGAAGATAAAACTCGACTAAAACTAAATTTTGACCAGTATGCCGCAGAGGCATTACCCCAGGGTAAGCCGGCGGCCAGCTTGGCTATCACTCCGGATCATAGCAAAATTATTGGCAGGCGTATGGGTGATAAGAAACTGGATTTTATCAAAGAACTTGTGAATATGAATTGTGAAGAGATTTGTAAGCAGATATTTTGTAACTTGGAACCACGTGATCTGCAAAGGTAATTTTGTTTTTGTGCATGTGGGGAGGAAATGCCTGTATTTGCATCAAATAATTGTCTACTCTAATGTGAAACTTAGATGTATGAAATGCTCTTGACAAGCATTCATGGTAATTGGTTCATGTGTGAATAGACCATGTTTTCATCTGTGACTGTTCATCTTCAGATACCAATTGGTCATTCCAGAAAAGATCCACCCCCCCTGTGAAACAGTAAATGTTTGTGAAATTGTAAATTGGTAAATGGTTTAATTGATGCATCATTTTGTATTTTTGCAGAGTTGCTTCCGTATCAAAACTTTGGAGAAGGATATGTAAAAAAGATCGGATTGCCTCTCCAAGGCTTGATCAGTTTATTTCTGGTCGAAAGCAACATGTTATGCGGAAAGGAAAGGTATTCTGTCTATGTGTATAAATAAAGCATTAAATGATGAACTAGCTACCAGGCATGATTTGTCATTTGACCATGCTAAATAGGGTATAAGTATAAATCAGCCCAATATTTCCACATCTGTGTTAAATTAATGATGTTAAATTTGACTTTAGGAGAATTTGGGCCATCATACAAAGTTTGACTACTCAGTTCCTCCAAGACATCCATTCTCTGTGAAGGACCACAACACAATATGGACACCAGATCAGAAACAATTGACTACCGCAATCGAGGCAGTGAAAACGAACATTTTGTTAACTTATGACAGAATCAAATGTCCATTGTGTGGCTCGCCATCAAGAAAATCTGCAAACGACATGTGTGAATGTGATGAATGCAAAGAAATCTTCTGTAGTCTATGCCAGCATAAAGTCGACAAAAATCACAAAAGTGGAAAATGTGGCATTAAAATGACTAAATCGAAAAATGTTAAAGGCAAAGAGCCCATTGGGTCAAAAAAGAGCAAAGATCGCCTCAAAAGATATTAGTACATTAAATACAGTTAGGAAAATTTAAAAAATCGTAGTGTAGATAGACTTTTTTTCAATTGTAGTTATCTAAAAAAATTTCCAAAACAAATTTCATAATGTAGTTGAAACATACCATAGAAAAATAATTTATATTTAGTTTGGTATAGTTATTCTGATTGTTTTAGAAATTGCAGAATGTGCATAGTTTGAAAAAAATTTAACACATACCAGCAAATTCGCCCATCAAAAACCGAGCTGGAATAGGTTGAAAATTACCATTCTATGTCAGTCTAAAAACCAGCGTTTTACTGTTATTATTTTCAGTGAAAACTAATTTATGAATTTAACCTGGATGGCATTCTTTAATTTCTAAAATAGTCGTGCAGTTTACATGTTTGCTTTTTAGCAGACACCTATTTTAATTATTTGGATTCATAAAATATTTTTTCTTATTTAATTTTATTTGTTAGCCATGGTATTTATTTAAAACAACTAGTAGTGCCGTCCTGTATGCTAGTGTTGTATATATTGTATGTATGTATATATTGTATATACTAAATATTATTTTGGCAAAGTTAATATTGCTTTTGCTTTACAATACATATTTTCAGAAAAAATCCTATCCTTGTTTCTCAATTGTGGTGTTTTTTGCTATTTATTCCTGGAACGACCAACCCAGAAAAGTAACATCATATTTTCTCTAATAACTGTTTGACTGTGGTAGACTTGTTGCACAACATCCATCTCGATTGCTTTCATGTTGTTGAATTTAGTGGACCGTGAGCAGTCCCTCGGAATCTAAACCCGCGGAAAGGAGGGACTGCTCGCAGTCTAGAATTTCGTAGCTAGTTATATAGCTAATTATCTTCCTCATAAAAAATAAGTTACTGTAACAGAATTATAGTCTCTCAAAACCCCAACTCCAACCTACCCATCTCCAACCTACCCATCTCCAACCTAAATGTGAGCCACTTTTAGCATCTGTAAAGAAAATAATAGCCCCACCCCTCTACACATGCCTCGTACTCCGCGGGGGTAAATCTGGTATTCAACAGTAACCTTTAATCCAATCATTTTACTAGTGCCATTCCTATCGTGTTCACGTGGAAGCGCGCGAAGATTTCAAGTATCATGGCGCACCTGGTCGAAGGAAAACTTAATATAATTATAAAGTGGAAATATTTCAAATTTTAAGCGAACATTTTGGGGTTTTATCTTGTATGTTATGAAGAAACATGTTAAACGATACTCCAGGATATGTGTGCTAAGAGAATTAAGGTATGTTTTGTTATCTAATTGCTTTAAATTTTTGTTTGTAAAAGTGCTAAAAAAATTTGGCCTTGTTAATAAAATTCGTACATGTGGACTCGAAATTATCATCAAGAGTTAAAGGAGGAATAAAATACAACTGCTTTCTTTGACTTTTAGTTGACTTGAACTATTGTGCCTTCGGCGTTTAATGTACATGGCTACTGTACGTAATTATGAAAAAGCATTCAAACTGTAAATTTAATATATAATTCAAAACAAGACGCAGTTTGAGACTGTAAATTTTCGACTTTATTTCAAAGTCATCTTCAGAATGTCTGAAGATGACTTTGAAATAAAGTCGAAAATTTACAGTCTCAAACTGCGTCTTATAAATTTAAAAAACCCTAATTCCAATTTAACATGAGTTGTGTGTATTAGCCAAGGTGTGCGTATTCTATATTTTGCAATGTGGGGAACAATAAATGAAGCCAAAAACTCACAGGGAATGAGAAAGCATGTATACTGGGTGAACAAGGGATCATGTTGAAACTTTGGTGGGAACAATAGCCGGCATACCCTGGTTGCCAGAGGTTCTTGTATCTTTCACCTTAGCAGGAATAAGGCGAAAGATACAAGAACCTCTGGCAACCAGGGTATAGCCGGCATAACAGCTGGTTTTTTGGGGGAGATCTTGCTGGCAGGAACATTAGTCACGCCTGCCCCTTCTCTTTGCCTGCACCCTGTTCTCCCGCCCTAATGGAAAACATCTCAAGGGAACTTGTTGGAACACAGAGCCCCCTCCCCCTTGTGGGAGACCCTCACCTATCAGGTGTGAAAATAATCACATGTTACATTTTAGTGTACATGTTCAAACATGCTAGGAAAATTTACTGATAAAATCAACAAGAATAATGACAATTAGGGTTAAACTCTACTAATTACATTATTGTCATGAATGTACCTTTTGTATTTTGTACATTCCACAATCAAGTTAAGAATAATGTGAAACCAGCATTATCTGGGCTCATGAAACTGCAAATTTTAAAGCTACAATTTTAAGCTTGTCTTAAAAACCTACAAATACTAAGTATTAATTGCATGATTTGTGCCAGAAGGCCACATTAAAAAACTACAAATTTAAAAGCTACAAAAGCTTATCAGGAAAAACCTCCAGCTAGTTAATAAGGTATTGAATAAATGATCTAGCCTCCTCCTTAGGCATATTGTCTTTGCTACAATTGATTAACAAGGTGCTTCATTACGAAGTAAATTATCATCAGAGGCTGCAGATATTAAACTCAATCTTCTGCCGTTGTCATTGTCGTCTTCGTGGTCGGACGCAGGGTCTAGTAAGTCTTCATCTTCTTCATCTGAGGGTAAATTCATGTAATTCATTGTTGTTGATGCATACATCCTCTGGCGACGTCTCCTAAAGGGGGTTATAGAGTATTTATAGTTTGGAAGACACTTTATTAACTTGTATTTAAGCTGCAATGCAACCTTGTGTGTTTTATTATTACATGAGTTATAGTATGTAACCTACCTTTGCCAGTATATAGCACCAGCAAGTATGATAATAATCACCACTCCTCCAATAACACTAGCAATAATGTATGTCTTTTGATTACTTGAGTTGTGCCCTGTTTTAAGAGACATGAGAACAGAAACTTGAAACTAAGTGTACTAACTGTTGGCTTGGTGTTTAACCCTTTAAGTGGCAATGCATCCTACTTTATTATTTTACTCTTTCTAACACCAGAAGCAAATGATGAATATTCATGATCTGTACATTCATAGTGCTGACAATTCTTTTTTTTCTATTCTTCTACGCCCCTGTGGAAATCAGCCTCGGTTGACAGGGTTGGCGTGGGTAAATAAAGTTTTTCTATCTATCTCTCCATGACATCTATCCCAGCCTCATCCTCTCTTTCTTTCCTTCCTCCATGGTTGCAGACGTTAGGGAGCACCTCCAGAGGTTAAGGGGCTAACTCAAAATTCAAAATGTGCATTTCCAAACTTAGTTGACTGTCCCTCTTTTTCTTTCCTTTTCCCTTCCTCCTTACCCCCTCTTCCCTCCCATCCTATCTCCCTCCTCCATCCTATCCTTCTCCTCCCTCCTATTCTCCTCCTCCCATCCTATCCTCCCTCCCATCCTATCCTCCCTCCCATCCTATCCCCCTCCTCCCTCCTATCCTCCTCCCTCCCACCCTACCTCCTCCTCCTTCCCATCTTATCCCCCTCCTCCCATCCTATCTCCCTCCCATCCTATCCCCTTCCTCCCTCCCATCTTATCCCCCTCCTCCCTCCCATCTTATCTTCCTTCTCTCCCCTCCTCCCTCCCATCCTTTCTTCTTTTCCCTGCCTCCCTCTTTTCCAATCCTCCTTCCCTGCCTCTACTTCCTTCTTCCCCTTCTCTTCCCCTACCTTCCCCCCCCCCCCCCTTACTATTGTTATAAGCATGGTAAAATTGTTTAGTACCATGATGTTTACCAGTGTGATGAGCGTCTGATGGATTATGAATATGTCGTGTTGGATTATGATGTTTCTTTGGATCATAAGGAATTATAATAATTTCAACTTCAGCCTCTTTTGGGGGAATCCCTTGATCCTTTGCTGTAACTCTAAGTGTACAGTTACAACTGCTGTAATCGTGAGGTACATCACAACAGTGTAGAGATCCAGTGACAAACAATGCTCCATTGACATACAATTTTCCATTGTCACGATCGATTGAGAAAACTCCGTTATAATCTACAAGAAATAGAATCACTTTTGATGCGCTGTTATCGCGTTAACAGGGAATTTGGCCGGGAACCTAGAACGGCAAAAATATAATTCCTTATATTGTTGTGTTTGAGAGCCAAAGTATACGTTACTACACTTAATTTGCCTCTAAGTATTCCTGTTTCTCTCAAAACAGCCCTTAAGTAAAAATAGTCTGCGAATTCAAATAAAACACCTCAAATAACATACAGGGTGTAGCCCAAAAAACCCGAAAACTATTGAAATCACCAATAACAATTTAATTGTTAGAATTTGAATGCCTAAGCACTCTGTTGATTCCCACGAGTGCATAAATGATTGACATAAGTACATTTTATGCATAAAGAAACTATTTAAGAAGCTGCTTTAAATTCCCAAGAGCAGAAAATCGCGCACTTCACAAGGAGATGTTCTTAACTAAATTTTAATACATGCACCTTGTCAATATTTTACGCATCATTACGTTCAGTTTTTTTGGTAGGGCATTCAATTTTAACAATAGGTGATTTCAATAGTTTTCGGGTTTTTTGGGACACCCTGTAGAAAGAATTAATTGTTGCCGTAGTCATGCACCGTGAAAATGATGCAAATCACGTACTAGTTTCAACAACTACGGCATTGCACAACGCTTAAGACCGCGTAATTTACATTCGCCTTTGTCTTTGAGGATTAATGCTATTGTTGATTATCACGTTGCCGTTGTATTTGGCATGTAGTAAAACACTGACTACCGGAATACCGGAACGTACCACCATTTTGTTTGGGGGTTAGGGTTAGGGTTGGGGGTTAGGGTTAGGGTTAGGTGGTGTTCCGATGGTGTTCCGGTGGTGTTCCGGTGTTCCGGTAGTCAGTGTTTTACTACATGCCGTTGTATTTGCCAAACTCCCTATTCAATGACTTAGGGCCGGTTGTTCAAAAGCCAGTTAGTTTAACCCCAGGTTAACTTAAAATTCAAAGAAAACCTGCCAATAGCTTGTCTATAAACTTGGAAGTATTTCTTCAGAGATATTCTCTGGATCGTTGGGAGTTTTCTTTTCTGAAGTTTTGAAATAAACAGATGTGCAGAACTACAAACTAACAGCAGGTTAAATTCGCGCAAAGGAAAACAAAAGAAAAAAATTCGGGCAAAGAGGGAAAGCAAAGAAAAATACCTTTAAAAATGGTTGATTCCAGCTTTAGACTAAATTTTGATCAAGGCAAGAAGAATGAAATCCAACACCACAGCTAGAAAGAACGTCTTAGAATGAGTAAAATTGCAAAGATTGGTTGCGAAATGTTGTAAAATGAAGAAAATATAGCCCTGTGAAGTTTGTAAATTTTGTATATATTTGTATTACGTGCGGTAATAATAACCACTTTCGGCTCAAAAATGGTTATTATTCCCGCGCGTAATGCTAATATATACAAAATTTGCTAACTTCACGGGGCTATATTTTCCTCATTTTACAACAATTCGCAACCAAACTCTGCCATTGTACTCATTTTAAGATGCTCTTTCCAACTATGGTGATGGATTACGTTCTTCTTGTCCAGATCAAAATTTCGTCTTTTACCTGGAATCATACATTCCGCAAAAACAATTCCAACATATCCAGAAAATATGAAGTGAAAGATATTTACCACTAGAATCAAGATAATATTTTATCTCGCTATTGGTTCCGTTGTCTTTGTCACTTGCTGAAATGTGACCAATTTCTCGACGTCCCTTGATGCCCTGCGAGAAAAAATGACGAGTAAAGCCCTGGGCAAACTAGGAAACATTGTTGTGGAAACATTTGTGATTCTCGATGTTTCCTCAAATATTTCCCTGTTAATTTGCCCACACGTGGAAACATTGTTTCCCTATGTTTCTCACTAATGTTTCCTAGTGTTTGCCCACTTTTCGAAACATGGCGAAACATTGGTAGGAAACAATTTTTCCGCAACAATGTTTCCTAGTTTGCCCAGGGCTTCATTGCTGAACTTCCTGCGACAAATGCAACTATGGGCTCTTCTAATCGAACCCGCAGCCCTACGATTCTGGTGCAGTGCTCTGGCCAACTGTATAAACTCTTCAACTGTTCGTTCAATTCAGCGAAAATTGCGAAATGCCAAAAATCTCGATATTTGCCATAGATATCTTATATACACTAGATAGCGCATCTCTTTTAGTAAAATTGAAGCCAAGAATATTCCAGCGGTTACCCCCATTTGAATAGATGGCGGCCATGTTGGTAGTTCCTACTCGCTAATAAACGCTTAAAAAACAACAATAACTTTCATCATTTGAATAGTTTGAAAATGTATTTAAGTTCCCTGTTTGAGAAATAGGAAACATACGAATCTTCTCATTTCATGGGAATATCCTGAGTCTGCAGTCACGGCTTCAATTTTTGAATTGCAGAATAATTAGATGCACTATCTAGTGTATATAAGATATCCATGATATTTGCCCATATCTTGTAATGGTACCACCCATCAGGTTTCGTACAAAACTTGAAAATCCTTGAAAGTCCTTGAATTTGGAAACAAAAATTCAGGGACTTGAGAGAACTTGAGTTTATAAAGAGTGCTTGAAAGTCCTTAAATTGTTCTTGCTTTGGTAGATATTTTCTGCAATTTGACATTAAGAATTGGACATTTTGTAAATTGATTTTGTTCATGTCTTACAAAGGTCAAAGCTGTTTGAAATTCATTGAAGTTGCCGTTTGAACAGTTTAATGTCACTTTTTACTGATTTCTTCTGCATCTGTCTATTAATTGTAAATAAATGCTATAAATACAGTATACATTACCAATTTTACGGTGATTGATCTTGGATAATAATTAATGACAGGAGCATTATCATTGTAGTCCAAAACATTGATCGTCACATCAGTACAAGTTGATTTCTTGGGACTTTTGGGATCTTTCGCACTCACAACAAACGTGTGATGTTGCTCTTTCTCGTAATCCAGCTCCGCTATCAGTGTGATGTCGCCACTGTCTTTATCAATCTTGAACATTCCTCTGGGTGTTGGTATGGAATATTCCAGTCGTTCTTTGTGTTTATAAAACGCTTTAACTGTTAAAACCTAGATCAAAGAGAGAACATTGATCAATAAATTTATTTTGCTTACTTCTCTTTAAATTCGCGCGGATGCCAAAATTTAATAATGATTGTATTTCTCGGAATTAACAACGACCACAAGTGCTTAAAAATAAAACAACTTTATTGTTGTAAACGTTTCGGAGTGTTACTCCATCTCCAGGTAATCAAGAAGAAGATGGAGCTGGTCACGTGATCTGTTAAAATCTAGCAGATTTCTAAATAACTATCTTGGATTCCTTTACGACAATCACACAAAATGCAAATTATAAATTAAACTATAAAAATTATCCAAATATGTACTGTTTAATAAACTCGCAGGAGTGTTTTATTAGGTTTAAAGCCTAATAAAACACGACCTGCGAATTTATTAAACGGCTTCAAACACGACTACAAATTCAATAGATTTACTGCCTTATTAGTATTCTTTATATAAAAAAATACTAATGAGGACACGACTACAATAGATACTGCCTTATTAGTATTCTTTTTTATAGAATTCTAATTAGGAGTGTTTTATCAGGTTTAAAGCCACTGCACGTGACATATTATGGTTGACATGATTTGCCAATAAGCTTATGAATTATTAATGAGTGTTTGAACAAATATTTATTGACTTCATCTTGGATTGCTAATTAAAATCTGCTAGATTTTAGCACATCACATGACCAGCGTCTACCGGGGTCTTCTCGCCACGCCAAGAGGAAAGAGCCTGGGTACGAGGTTGGAATAATACTTGATCACGCTCAGAACAGTTGATTAACATCAGACAAGACGTTTGACGTCGCTGACAGCTCGCACCAACACGCACGTGGTTTTGTTACTATTTGGTTATTACAAAACCTTTCATTAAATCGATGAAAAACAGAAATAGTGAATGAAAACACAATACCTTCGTATTAATCCTAGTGTTTTCAGATATCGCAGCTGTGTAATGGCTTTCCTCAAAATGCGGCTGACTTGTGTCAATTTTCCTCACCAAAACAACGACCGATGTGATGTTATAAAATTCCCCCGGTTTCTGCCCTGGCTTTTTTTCGTACTCAGCCGCGATGTTCAAATTATATTGCATCTTTTTAACGTCTCCTTTTGTTGTTATTACACCAGTTTTAGAGTCCACTTTGAAGACAGAGTCATCGCCGCTGAATAGGGAGTACCGTATGTTCTGATGGTCGAAGGTCACAGGGTCATGGGCGTGGACTGTAGTTACCACTGTCCCTCTGGGTGTACCCCACAGCAGGTAGGCCGTATATTGATGTTGTACGAATATCGGGTTATTGTTGGTACGATTGGGAGTTGGAAAGTTTTGAACCTCTAAAGCGACTGTCACGTAGCCACTTCGTGGTGGAGTTCCTTGATCTGTCGCCACAGCTGTCAGTGTGTAGCTAAAATAAGTTAACGGCACAGTTCAGCCTTTTGAAGTACTGTTTAATAAACAAGTAGGAGTGTTTTATTACGTTTAAAGCAACGAGCGCGCAGCGCGAGTGACTTTAGACCTAATAAAACACACCTGCGAGTTCATTAAACGGCTTCAAACACGACTACAAATTCAATAGATATACAGCCTTATTAGTATTCTTTATATAAAGAATACTATTGAGGACACGACTACAATAGATACAGCCTTATTAGTGTTCTTTATATAAAGAATACTAACTAGGAGTGTTTTATCAGGTTTAAAGCCACTGCACGTGACATATTATGGTTGACATGTTAAGCTTATGAATTATTAATGAGTGTTTGAATGATAGTTTGTAAGGTGTATTTCAGCCCTTTTAATTGAAAAACTAACTAGGAAAATCAACTAAACGTAATTCAAGACCAGCAACAGTTTTTAACATTTTAAAACATTTTTATTAAACGTACAAAGTTGTCCTTCAGTATCATTATATGAATGTTGTCGGTTCAAGTGAGGCCAAAAGCTACTGTTAAAAGTAAAGTAAAGTCTAACTTAGACGGCAAATTTTAATATAAAACTATAAAAAGTTTAAAAAAGTTGTCTTAGCTTTCGTCGTCTACGACATCATCGAGACAATGTATGATGTCGTAGACGACGAAAGCTAAGACAACTTTTTTAAATTTTTTATATTTTTATAGACTTTACTTTACTTTTAAACAGTAGCTTTTGGCTTCACTTGAACCGACAACACAACATTTTTATTGTCAAAAACATTGAGTTTACTGATCTTGAATTATGCTTCATTGATTTTCCTAGTTAGTTTTTTCAATGAAAAGAGCTGAAATGCACCTTAAAAACCATCATTCAAAAGGCTGAATTATCCCTTTAAATTATTAGGTTCATACGAGGGCAGCTAGCCAGGAAACCCATGCCAAGAAACGCTGGCCATTTTTATCACTTTAAAAAACTCCTAAATGTTTGGACTTTTTTTGTATTATTTCTCGGTTGGAAATTGCTGTATCTTATTGGCTGTCTTTGTTATTGTTTCATATTTTAAGCCAATCAGAAAGTCTAAATAGTCAATGAAATTTGCATTGTATTTCATTTTTTTGCACTGTATTTCGAAAAAATTCCACTGCTCTTATAGGCAATCAATGCATAATGACATCACAAGGCTTGATGCCCGCGAGGAATGCTGGTCTTGGTAGTCATCACCCGGGAAAATTAAAAATTTCAAAATGGCCACTATCGAAATTTTGACTAGATGACTAGTAAGACCAGCATTCCTCGCGGGCATCAAGCCTTGTGACGTCATTATGCATAAGGTCTATTACGGCAAAAATATTTCGAGCTTATGCTTGCGTACCACTGACCACTGTATGTATAACATGATAACTCGATAAATAAGCTTACTATGGCCTCGCCAATTGTTCTACACTCTTTAAAGAAATCACTCCGGACATCTCGTCAATCGTGAAAATATAACTATCACTTGAGTGAACCAAACTGTATCTGATCTTTCCATTCTCGTCGATATCGTCATCCGTTGCAACCACTTGAATAATATCTTCCCCTCCCTTAATGCTCTTTGGAATCTTAGCATTGTATATCTCCTTCTCGAAGACCGGCAAATTGTCATTCGCATCCAGGATTTGAACATGAATCGTCGTTACAGCTCTGGTGGCGTCTTTGTATTCGATGTTTTTGCAAGTGATTTCTATATTGTATTCAGAGGTCGCTTCACGGTCGAGTTGTAGTGAGCGCACGCGGAGTTTAAAGTACTGGTCATCGTCACCATAGCCGTAATAGTAGGATCTGTATGTTACTATGAAGGTGTTGTTTACGTTGCCTGAACAAGAATATAAAAGGACGGAATGGACCTTTAACCTTATAACTAAAATTTTGATCTAGACAAAAATTTCATCACAGCTTGAAAGAGCATCACAAAATTAGTAATATTCCAAAGTTTCGTTACGAAATGTTGTAAAATGTGGATAATATAGCCCTGCGAAGTTTGCCGTTTTTCAGTAATTTTGTATTACAAACGGGAAATTGATACCCAATCGGGTGTTGGGCTGTCAGTTTCCCGTTTGTAATACAAAATTACTGAAAATTGCAAATTTCACAGGGCTATATTATCCGCATTTTACAACATTTCGCAACAAAACTTTGGAATATTACTAATTTTGTGATGCTCTTTCAAGCTGTGATGAAATTTTTGTCTAGACTTGTCTAGATCAAAATTTTAGTTATAAGGTTAAAGGTCATTTAGCACAACTTTAGATCTTAGTTTAGTTGAGATTATCTTCGCTTAACAATCATATTACACTGAAAAAGAACATAAAAATATATGACATGATTGAAGGATTTGACTAACACTATATTATAAAAGCATTTAGTGAACAGTCGTCTAGTTTGGAATATAATCATGATGACTGAATCTAGCTAGAATATTAAAGCTAGAATATTAAAATGTTTATTTCATGATTTGTTCGGAGTTACTGTTGTTTTATATTTTATTACAATACTCAGTGGTTCCTAACTTCCTGTAATAATTTCTGGTTTGGAAGCTTGGTATATGGGGAGATCTTCACACCCCTGAATGGGTTCAACCCACCTTTAGTAATTGAACAACTTATTCGTCTCGCCCAATACCAATAATAATATCCAGTTTTCTTTTCTCTTGCACCAAATATCAAAACGTCTTTATATCCATCAGATGTTGTCTCGTTCTTCTCTGGCAAATCGTACGTTCTGTTGTTGTACGTGTCACTGAATATAATGGTTGGGTCTAAAAACATATTACGCGTTCTTAAATGTTTATATATTTCTGCTTGTGATAACTCTGTCAGTTCTAAACTGTTCTTCCTTGAGATCCAGTAAGAGTCATCTCTTATTCAATCAGTGTTGGTACAGGAGGAAACCTAAACTAAACTAGAGACCTTAAGATTGACGTTTACGGCAAACGTCAAACCGCTAGCGAAGTTTTTGATTTTACAACTCTATTATTATAGCTTTTACACCAGTTTTGAAATATGTTAAATTTATTAAACTTGTGCTCTTTAGCAATGATTTAAGAAAGCAAATTAACCACTAGTCATGCCATTCACCAAAGCAGTAAATTAAGATTTGGCGTTTGAAGTTGACGTTTGGCGTATAAATTCCATGCTTGAACTGCTACGAGGGCTTGTAGTCGTTAAAGCATGAAATTTATACGCCAAACGTCAACTTCAAACGCCAAATCTTAATTTACTGCTTTGGTGAATGGCATGACTAGTGGTTAATTTGCTTTCTTAAATCATTGATAAAGAGCACAAGTTTAATAAGTTTAACATATTTCAAAACTGGTGTGAAAGCTATAATAATAGAGTTGTAAAATCAAAAACTTCGCTAGCGGTTTGACGTTTGCCGTAAACGTCAATCTTAAGGTCTCTACTAATTTTATTTATACTGGATAGCTTTATATCAGTTTTAAACTGTTCTTCCTAGAGGTCCAGTTAGCTTCATCTCTCATTGATCCAGTGTTACCAGAAGGACCCTAACTTAACTTACTTTATTTATACTGGACAATTGATATTTAATTCATATTATAAGATCTTACCAATTGCTCTGATCGTTACAAATGTTGATTCTGCGACCAGTCCTCGCATAGTCGCAACGCACTGTACATATGATGTTGTGTCGTTCAATGCCCTCGTGTCCAGTGTACTAGACTCACTCACAACCTCCTACAATGAAACAGAGTTGAGACTGGAGACCACTAATGGATAGCTCTATCAGTTGTAAACTGTTCTCTCTAGAGGTCCAGTAAGGATCATCTCTTATTGATCCAGTGTTACTACAGGAGGAAACCTAAACTAAACTAACTTTATTTATAATGGATAGCTCTATCAGTTCTAAACTGTTCTTCCTAGAGGTCGAGTCCTTTGTTGGTCTATTGTTAACTAAACTAAACTTTATTTATACTGGATAACTCCATCAGTTCTTCAATCGTCTTTCTAGAGGTGCAGTTACAGCCATCCTGTAGTGGTCCAGTAAACTTAAAAAACCCTGCGCTGTTTGGTGACGTTAAACTGGACTGATCCAAACTTGATCTCACTTACCTCGGAGTACGTTTTCCATTCATACTTGATAGGATATTTTCCTACAGCTTTGCAATTCACCAGTCTATATTTGGCTAAGTCTTCGCGCACATACACCGTATTTTCTGCTGGAAACTCTATTATGTGTGGACCAATGTCAGGCCACAGTGTGAACGCTTTCTTACCACTGTCTGCAAGTGAATAGCAAAATTTTAGTTTTTAATCCAAACTTTTTTATTCTGTGTCCTTCCTTTCTTTCTTCCTATTTCATTCTTTCCCTCCCTCCACTCTCTATTCCTCCCTCCCCACCCTCGTCCATCACTCGCCCTATCCATCTCTTGCCCCCAACCACCTCTCCCCACGCACCTCCTTCTTTCTTTCCTCCCCCTGTCCATCCGCATTCCCCCTATCCATCTCTTGCCCCCAACCACCTTTCCTCACCCACCTCCTTACTTCTTTCTTTCCTTCCCCTGTCCATCCGCACTCCCCCTATCCATCTCTTGCCCCCAACCACCTCTCCCCACCCACCTCCTTACTTCTTTCTTT